AAGTGGTTCAGAGTTGTAGAAGAAAAGTATCTAAGCATGAACCTAGGCACAAACCAGGAAATAAGCCAGCACACAGCATTCTTCCTGTCAGGGTCCTTCCCTAACTTCCCTCAGTGATGGACTAGGACCTGAAGTGTATGATGAAACAAACCCTTTCCTCCACTAAGTTGCTTTTGGTCAGTGTTTTATCACTTCAATAGAAATCAAACTAGAATAATCATGAACTACACAAATGGAAGTTTAGTGTGCTGTGCCTTTCTACTGATTTTCAATTTGCTTCCCCATTATTACCTACAGCAAGGTGGGAGGGGGCATCTCTTTGTTGTCTCATTGTTTTCACATCTTTCTTTTTCCTTTCTCCTTCCCTTCCTTCATCCTTCTAGGCCAAGACACTTTGCATGTATCAAGAAAACAGCACAAGGAAGACAATTTTTCTGGGCTCTAGCCACCCACATCAAAGTGTCTGCTCAGTGTAATCCCAAGAAATTATCCATAAAAAGTGACACTGTAAGGTCCTCATATTTCTGTGATTAGACAGTGTCAGGATGAGTCTGGGTACCACACCAGAAATGCACACTGGGCCAGACTGTTGAAAGCCCCTGGGGCAATTGTTGTGTTCCAGGAAGGTTGGAATACTTTGAAATAGCTGGGCATGGGCATGTAAATCTCAAATCCCAGCAACTGGAAGACTGATACAGGCTTGTAAGTTCCAGGCCAGCCTGGGCTACATAGAGAGACTTGTCTATAAAAATAAACAAAGAAAAGGAAGAAGCTGAGACACGGGAGGAAACTGGTTTGGACACCAGTAGGTACTTGCTTTGATCTATCTGAAAGTGTTTTTCTTCCCCCAATTAATTAAGAAATTAATTGACTTGGAGGTCAAGACTGATAAATACTTGCTTTTAATGTATGTATAGGCTAAAACAGGATACACTATCTCTGGTTTATCAGAAGTGGTTCTACTAGTGACAGGAAATATTCTCCACAAAAACCCAGTTTCCAAAGAACAACTTTTGGATAAATATAAACTCATCCCTAGGACTTGTGTAAGAGACCAGAGAAAAAAAACAAAACAAAATGAAACAAAAAACTTTCCTTGAAGTGATTTTGAGTTTCCTGCAGCCTTCATAGACTTTAGTTTTACTTACATACCCCAGAAACATGGAAAACTGAAGCAAGATGTTTAAGTCTTTCCATATAAACAAGTTAACAATTCAGGAAAAGATCAAATGTGCTAATATTTGACTTGAATGCATAGTTAGGACATGAAAAGGCCTGGAAATACAGTGTAAGCATTCAGTCTTCTCTCCGTATTGTAGCTGAAGTTTCTTGCTGGAGATAAAAACATGCAACTTGGTAATTTCAGTCAACATAATACTATAGAAAAGTCACCAGAACATAATACACAAAACCTGAATCTCTTTACGTAATTTGTCTAAAATCCTTTGAGCATCCTGCACTGTTGCAAAGGTAACATTCTTATACATGGCATTCATTGAGGAGCAAGATTTTATTTTGAAGTGGTACAGATTAGGCAATTCTTTTTGTGTATGTGAAGAATTACCTTTGTTTGGAAATCTAACTGTATACTGTTTTCCTGTGGAAAGTTGATTGACATTCTATTTGAAGCATATTTTTTTTTTCAAACTCAAGTTGACTATCCATCTAACAATACTTGACCACCATCTTTACACCTTCATTTATAAGCACAGTAATTTTATGTTGGAGTTTTTTCAAACAGCAATTTGTAAAATGTATCCTTTTTAGGGAAGAAGCAGACCTGGGTAAAGATGAGGCTGCTAACTTTGCTATGAAATTGTCTACTGGGACATCAGGAGTGGGCTTTGTGGGAGGAAGCCCCTTCATCTTTCCTACCAGCCAGGACCCTCTCAATCCATGGAGCACTCCCCTTAGACACCCAGACCAGTTCTGGAGGGGAGGCAGGGATAGATCTGAACTTTGAGGGTCAGCTTCTGGCTGCATGAGAGTGTCTCCAAGAGTGCACATGAATGGTCTCTAACATCCATCTTGTCTTTTAGGTTTCAGAGTTCTGCACTCACTACTCTGTCTCATTGTAGAGCTGGTTTTGGGCAGAAGCCAAAGTGACAGAGTGGCAGAGTGAGCCAGAAGTCATTGAATTCTAAATTCGTGTGTGCATGTGTGTGTGTGTGTGTGTGTGTGTGTGTGTGTGTGTGTGTATATACAGTTTGTAATGCTGGGGATAGCCCAGGGCCTTGCATGTACCAGGTAGGTATTCTACCACTGAGACACATCCCAGATCTTGGTTTTGGTTCTTGAGTGACCTTCTTACTAACACCTGAATGCTACTGCCCTAGAACTTCAAAGAACTTATGTTGGGGCAGGGATAAGAAGTGGGGACAAGCCCATACATCCCCCTTGTGCCTTGGAAGGTCTGTTACTATGTGCTTGCTTGGTCCAGGTCCTAGATCTACTCAGAATCTTCAGAGGGCAACTCTAAACAAACATCCAAATGATTCTATGGTCCACCTGGGATCCATCCACATGCCCAGTAGGAGCATGTACCTGTACCACTCAGGAGAATGGACTTCTCTTTGCTAGATTTTAATTCTTTTACTTATTCTTTTGTTTTCATCAGCATTTATTGCAAATCATGCTGTACTTGCTGGGTTTGGAAGGACAAACTTTTTATCTCAGCACCCAGGAGGCAGAGACAAGTAGATATCTATGGGTTCCAGGCCAGTCAGAGCTACACAGTGAGATCCTGTCTCAAAAGACCATGCTGTTTGATTACTTCTGGCAAGTTTTATCCTTTCCATTTATAGAATCAGGGGTTTCAGAACAACAGAAATAAGCTTTGAGTCTCCACAGTGGCAAGTTCACTAGGCTCCAAAACTTCCTTTTCAATGTAGGCTTAGCAGCTTTGTTTCCAGATAAGGAGTGGTGGCCTTAGAAGACACAAGAAGCAGCCTGCTTGAGCACTGGAAGCTTCAAATGTTTGTGATCACAGCAGAGGGACTGTTGACTATGCATGGTACATTTCAAAAGACTGGAAGAACAGACTTTGAAGTTTTCACCATCAAGAGATGATCAGTGTTTGAGGACACAGATCTGTTTAACCTGATTTAAACATTAAACAATGTATACAGGTATCAAAAACATCACTAGGTACCCCACTCATGCACAATTTCATGTTTTGCATAAGTAAAATAAGTTTAATTTTTTAAATGTTTATTATGTGAATGTAGAGGCTGAAGTGAATAATAAGCAGCTCAGCAGAAACTTCTCCAACATCACCATTATCATCATCATCATCTTCTCAAGAGCAGCCAATCTGGATTCCCACAAATTTGTTGGCAAGTCTCTCATTACAGAGTGGAGGAAAATGATTTCAAAGGTTTCCTCTGTCCGCAGTGGAGGAAAATGATTTCAAAGGTTTCCTCTGTCCGCAGTGGAAGAAAATGATTTCAAGGGTTTCCTCTGTATCCTAAGCCAGTCTAATGTTAACTCTGGGCTCCCAAAGCATGAAAACTCCTTTAACTTACACAGCCATTTTGTATAAAAAAGTTTTCTAAGCAAATCTACAATTCTTGCTGGGCTACCAGAACTAGAATTTAGTGTGGCCTTCTTTCTCTTGTAATGTTTAACTACTTGATGCTTGACTTAGGGGCAAAAGATGGGTGAGCTGGCAGATACCTGTATGCACACAGCCTTGTAGGAGGATCCCATACAGTATAAATACAAGAAAATACTCACAGTTTAAGAAAAAAAAAAGCAGACCAATAATTGCCTCTGGATGGTTATGGAAAATTACTCAGGGCTGGGGAAACTTCTGGTGGTGGTGGTATGACTGTGGTATCAAGGACTGGCTACAAAGTGAACATGTAGCAAGTGTTGTTCAACTGTGACAATTAGGTAGCAGGTATATCTTAAGGTTTAAATTAAAGCATAGCAACTACTTTAATTCCTAAAGACCTCGAGATGAAAAATTAAGGGACAGTAGATGCCTAAATCAGTAATTTCAGCATAATAATCCTCTTTAACAGCACAAGTTCAGCTGCTTAGTTTATTATCTAAAGGAGTTAGAAGCAGGTGGAACCCAAAACTCATCATTCTTTTGTATTCAGCTTATATTTTAGAAGGTAGGCATGACCAGAGACAAAATTTATAGAAAATACGAACTTTTTGTTTTTTCTTTTTAAATATTTTATTTATTATTATTTTATGTGTATTAGTGTATTGCCTGCATGTATGTAAGTGTACCCATGTCTTGCAATGCCTGTGAAAGTCAGAAGAGGGTGTCTCATTCCCCTGGAATTATGGATGGTTGTGAGTCTCCACTCCAATGCTGGGAAGCAAGCTCAGGTCCTCTGCAAGAGCAGCCAGTGCTCTTAACTGCTGAGCCATCTCTCCAGCCCCATTTTTGTTATTTTTTCAAAGTAACTAATAATATGTATTTACAAATAAATTTTAATTCATGAAGAATTAACAGTTTTCAACAGCAGAGTAAATGACTCATTTCTAATATTGAATGACTAAAACTGCACATAAATACTGCATACTTCACAACACTTAATGACACAGTGCAAAATAACACACATGTGTATCCATGCCCTTCACTATGTTAGGACCAAGTCAGATGTCTTGAAAAACAATGGATGTGTATGATGCTAAGTGCTCTTCCACTGAGACACCTGTAAATTGCCTGTACCATGGAGCATTAATAGCTTACGATGTTGGGCATGTTGGTTCATCATAGCAATCTTCAAGGAACTCATTCTTTACGTTTCAGTTTGGAAGAATTAAAGCCAAATACTCCTTATAAAATTTGCCATTCTCTTTCTAAGAGCACAGGCTGCAATAACAGACATATGACCTTGAAATGATGTTAAAATTTCTATTTAAGACAAAGAGTCAAGGCCAGGTGTGGTGGAGCACGCCTTTTATCCCATCACTGAGGAGGTAGAGGCAGGCAGATCTCTGTGCTTGAGGCCAGCTGGTCTATACAGAGAGTTCTAGACACCTAGAGTTACACAGTCTCAAAAAGGGGGAAGAAAGGAAAGAAAGATTCATGGACAGTACAGCTTAAAAGTATAAATTTTACAAGAAAGGCTCAAGGGTAGAATTAGCGTGATGTGGTGTATTTCCCAAAATCCATGAAATTCTTTGCAAAAACAAAACAAACCAATACTTTAAGTTCCACATACACACTTTTTTCCTGTATTTCCCCCCAAAGAACATTTCTAGAGCACAAAATAGATTCATAATGGTTTAATTAGATACATATTATATATCCTGAACATAATTGCTCTCATAGAAATAAACTAATATTTTGTACACAAACTTTATTTACTGTGCCACATTCATAATATACTGAGCCAAGTGCAAATATGTATTACACCCCCTGGTGTGTGGAGCACTGCTCCCACAAACACTTCATTATTTAGGATGACAGAGAACAAGATTAGACAAGATGGATAATTAAAACCCACAAGTAATAACAAAAATGTCCTTTCGACGATTATGGTAATAAACTCGTCTCTGGCCACAGCTGCAATCAACATTAAGCAAAACAGGTTTAATCAGGTTTTCTTCCCTAGCATCCCATCTCTTCTCCAATGGGACAAGATCTAATGATTGGTTAGTGGTCATGTGGAAAAGCATGGGACCACAGTAGTTAAGAAGGGCAAAAGGTTTGGAAGATTGACAAGGTGGCATCCTTTGTACCAACGACCCCTTGGTTTCCTCTACCCAGAAAAATCTATTTGGTGCCTGCCCTCACACCACCTAACATGTACCATTAAAAGGTATCTTAAGTGAAGTTTATTTTCTGCCTGGAGATTATAGAGACAGTGTTTTTAAGTAATCCATGAAAAGTAATAACAAAAATAACAAGAACAACAAAATATCAGCAATACTGGAGAGTAAATTTGCACCTTGGTAGCAGCATTCAAAATAAAAATAATTCATTTTTGGTGCACCTCTGGAAACGCTGGTGTGTGTCACTGATCAGTTCAGTCTGGACAATCCACAAGGTCATTGCTGTTTACTACTGCTTTCTTGAATGACTGTCTAACTTGAGGGACAGGAGCTTGAAAATAAAGCATGAGGGAACATCAAGCCCTCCTCTGTTCCAGATCATTTTTAAGGGAAAACAAATTAGAAAGTACCCAGAAATATAAAGGTTTATATAAAATTCCAAAGAATATATCACATTTTATCAAGATAATAAGCTGCCATTCTACTGTTTTGCAATTTAGTTTCAATAGCCCAAATATTATATAAATGAAAATTCCAACAGGGTAAGCCTCATAACTTTATAACTACGTGACTTGAAAGAGGGATGAGGCCTTTACACCAAGCCAGTGTTCCATGGGGAAGATGAGTGACTTGGAGTCACAGGAGAATCTAAAGCCTATCTGATGACTTGATGGGCATAATCAGGGACTCTGAATCTCAAAACAGATTCAAAATATGAACCTTATACAATGCAACTGTAATTAATATGGCATTTTTCTCATTTTCATCTTGAAATCTTAAAGAGTTCCAGTGAGACCTACCATCACTTACACTGCTCATATTTGTAATCTAAGCTATCTAGTCAAGGTCTTGCCTACTATTTTTTCCTTATTTCTTGGTAAGCTTTTCTCTACTATATAGGCTAGGGTAGTAGTTGCTTCCCTGATGGGTCCTGAGTCTTCTGCCAGTTCTTTGACTGGTAGGGTATCTTCTGCTCACCTCACTTTCCCACTTTCTCCTTGGAATCTTTTCTTTTAGGCTATTGTGAGGCTGTTCAGGGAAATGCTAGCAAGTACAGATGAGACCCATTTTAAATAGAATTTTTAGCTTTACCAATTAGAGGAGAAACAACTTATATGAAAAAGTCAATAGGATTCTAATTGAGTTCTAATTAAAATTAGACATAATTGAAGTGCAGACAAACAAGTATCAAGATGAATGAAAAAAACAGTTCATGAAAAGGGTTACTTTACAACTGCAGGACAAACCACTTAGATTTCAAACGGGAGCCTAAAGAGCCGAGAACCATAGGGAGAGGGGTTGCTAATGTGGGATGCTTAGCTCTGGAGAGGGCTTACGGAGTTTACTTTGGAACCAAATTCCATCCTAATGAATGCAAGTTGTGTGCGTAGTATATGGACTTAGATGAAAGGAGGGATGAGTTTTACGATAACTAAAATATTGTTACATCTACTGGAAATGTTAGAGTTTTCCTTTATGTTCTTAGCAGTTTTTGGTTTGATGGTGAATTAATCGTTATTGGGAATGCTTTGCTGAGGAGAAATAACACCAAAATCAGTGCTCTTAACAAAATATAAAATGTCACTAACTTTGTTATCAGAGTTTAAAATAACAGTTAAATTCTATGGTAAGAATCTAAGAATAAAAATCTAACTAACAATAAAATATAAGTAATTTTATAATTCACTACAGGCATTTATATAGCCATGTACATGCAGAAACTTAGGAATACCGGTGCAGGACTGCTACAAAACTTTCTGTATACTAGTGAAGGAAAAACAAATCCTGAAGCATTCAAAACATTTTTGCCCTTCCCCCTTTTTAGGATGGATAAAATGCTTTAGCCTAAGTTTTATATCTCTGCCTCTAGCAAGGTAAATGATTAAGATGTAATCATGTATCACGTGGAGTGACTTGACTGAGAAAAAGAAATGCTTTTGCATAAGATCCATTTACATAATGCAAACAAGCTACTGGCATTCTTGCTTTTGTTCTCTGTGGCATCTGAACATCGTCAAGGGGTAGGCATGGGTCAGAGATGTGCTGCCTGGCCTTGTGCTTTACTCAAAAGCAGTGTCTTTATGGTACCACTAAGCTCACATGGAGGAAACTCCAAAGGTTTTTTTTCTTACTTCCTAATACAGTTTTAACACTGATGATGTCCAAATCAAACACAGACTGTGCCAAGTATCAGGGCACAATGTGAGGTTAGATAGAAGAGGAATGGTTTATCATTTGGACACAGGACAGGAACTTAATGAACAACATGAATACAGAGATCTACTTAGTGCATCTTTCCCTTCTTGCCCTGCAGACCCACCATACAGTACTTGACTTATCAAAGGAAAGCATGTGGTTTTCCTTATTTATCCATTTATATTAGCTGAATCAACATTCTGATCCTGAAAGTGAATCATGCCAGGATTCTAAAGATCTGTCTTTCACATACACCTATGAGCACACATTTAGAAAATGGTTTATCTTTGCTTCATTTCTTAAGGCATGAACAATGGCATAAAGATGGAACAGGTTCTGGGAAGTATCATCTGTTTTGACGAGGCTGGCACAAACACACCACATAAAACACACTTAGAGTCTGAACTGACCGACTGCCATGGCCCAGGAGCTCCTAAGGTAAATGGATGGTGCTTTCAGACAACTGACCACACAGGTAGTTTGTATGTCGCATTAAACTCTCTTGACCGCCTTTAAGCACCGAGTACAGTTTATTTTTCTTTACCAGCTCTTCCGACTTTGGATTTTATATTTACCTTCTTTTATTCTGCTTTCTGAAGAGGGCGTGGATTTTATTTATTTATTTTTTTTAAGGAATATGGTTGCAGCAAAACAGAAAGGATCCAAAAGTGGTTAGGAGCCTTGTCTAATGCACTTTTGAAAATCCATTATAAAGATGAATAGAAAAGCAAATGGGAGGTTTTCAGTCGACCCAGAAACCACGCGTAGCTATAAGAAACATAATTGTGCATAGTTATTTATTCATTCAGAGTGCGATATGTTGCCTAGCTCTACGTTTCCAGTTTACCAAAGAACAGGGCTGTCTACTTTGCTAAACCCAGGCTCCTTCCGAAGCTCCCAGTAGGTGTCATTAGAAACCCAGGCTTCTCTTTGATTTGCATCAATAACTTTTCTGTGAAGATATAAAAATCAACGTTAGCCATAAATCATATCAAGGTCACCTGGTGCTTGGATGGTCTAGATTAGCTATACACATGCAATATATGGATATATAAGTCACTTAGTAACCTACTTGCCAACAGGTGATAACTTAGCTATTTTGGGCCAGAAATGAAGTCATTTTTGTTGTCAAATGCTTGAAATAAAAGTAAGGAGGAAAGACTAAGGGCAGCAACATATTACCTCTACCTCTGGACAGGGATAGAAAGGACAGAGCCCTGAGTATAACTACACCAATACTGTAAGGAAGAGCTCTGGCCACTGACTCATAAGAGTTCTTGTTTTCCTTTCAGGGAACAAAGAAACATCAGCAGCTATGAGCTTCTGTGAAGCTCATGTCTGGAGGGCGCACAGAAGACCTTGGAAGGGCACACTGCAGAGCCCTGAAGGGCGAGGCTACATTTCCACCCTAGTTTGGCCATGAGGTCGCAACTCTAAAGGAGAGGATGCTGTCCTGAGCTTTTCTATCTAGGCTCAGGGGGATGACAGATGGATCTGGAAACTACAGATCCATCTGTGTGATGTTTATATAATCCCTCAAATAATCCTCTAGTAATCACCTTTGATCATCCCCACAGTGTGGGACCAAAGCTGAGTAGACACAAGCTCTGTATGAGAAATAAAATTAAATGCTAAGTCATGGTGCCCTTGTGGGCAGAGCCCACCGAGCGCCTGGGTAGAGTGGGAACACATTTCTCCCATTCTAAAGTGTCCAGCTAAAGGACAAAGCCATCTGAGGGAGACCCTCACTGTCACTGTCCACAGAAAGAAAAGACCCATTGAAAAGAATTTGCTTTTATGGTTACCAACTTTTAACAACCACAAAATCTGATTCAATATTTTCAGTGTTCAATGTAAAAATATCCTAATCAGTTTAGTTTTCCCACCTTTAAGTTCCCTGGCCACTCTCAGATGCTTATTTTCTTTTCACCACCATGGCTTGTGACAACCTTCAGCGAAACATGAACTTGCTGGGGGAATGGGTTGACTTACTTAAAAAATTTTGGTATATGTTCAAGGTTGTTCTCCTCCATGTACCGTCGACGAGATCTTTGGAGTTCTTCTACTCGCTGCTTCTCTGCTGCTGCAGCCTCTACATTCCCTTCTTCCAAAAACCTAAGCAGAACACACTTGATAGTTCAATGTTATTGACTTTTAGGAAAAAAAAAAACTCATTGAAATAAATTACAGGCTGGTTGTTATGAACATAACATTTCAAACAGTGGTGACCTTGGCAATGTCCCTTCACCTCTATCCCAGGCCACACTACCTAGCTGTGTTCAACAAATTAATATGGTTTCTGTCCATGTGACTGAATTACTACTTCAGCAATGCAATAGTAGGAGGGCAACGTTCTTGGTTTGGCCTTGAAGCCTTTCTGCGCTTTCTGGGATTTTGCAACCTGACATTTTTCTGGAGAATGGAAGAGTCAAGGGTAAGAATATTATGATCACAAGTTGTGTTCCTTCTACTCAGTGTAGTGTGTGTATGTGTGTGTGTGTGTGTGTGTGTGTGTGTATAAATGTATCCATATACATGTAAAAACAATAAGGAAAGGGACAGGAAATAGAGAGGGTGTGGGGGAATGTGGGAGGAGCTGGAGGGGGACTGGGAGGGATGGAAATGCTGTGAAGTATAATCATGTACAATGTTCACAACGCAACAAAACAAAACAAAACAAAACAAAACAACAAAGAACACTCCAAGTTGTACTGCTTCTTCCACAGCACCAAAAGCATTTGTTAAAAGCTATGGGATGCAGGATGGGTGAGTGGCTGTTCCCCATCTATTTTGAGAACAGATAGAGAGGCAAGGAGCTTTGCTGGTTTTTCAGAGAAAGTAAAAGTGATGAAAAAGAGGGTCATAGCTGGGCTGGTGGCGCACACCTTTAATCCCAGCACTTGGGAGGCAGAGGCAGGGGGATGTCTGTGAGTTCCAGGCCAGCTGGGGCTACAGGAGAGACCCTGTCTCAAAAAGACTCGCCCCTAAAAAAAAAGAAGGTCACATTTGGCGGAAATTACAAAAGGCCATGTGGCAGAAAAGTGAGAAGTGGAATACTGTAATAAAACTGTGAAGGCTTTAAAAACATTCCCAGGCCAGGTATGGTGGCTCACGCCTTTAATCCCAGCAGAGGCAGGTGAATCTCTGAGTTCAAGGCCAGCCTGGTCTACATAGTGAGATCCAGGACAGCTGGGGATTCAGGGAGACCCTGTCTCAAAAAAAGACCAAAAAAACAAACAAACAAAAAAACCCCAACAAAAACAAAAAAACCCCAACAACAACAAAAAAACCATACCCAGAGTTATTTGCCAATGTTCACATCTTGTGGTTGAGATTCGCTTAGTGATAGATTGCTGAACGTGCACAGGAGCCTGGGCTTGACTGCTACCATTGCACGTATATATATATGTACACTCACACATTTACAGTTCAAAACAGGAGCAAAGAAGAGATATAATATGATACATACTATACAGAGGTAATCAATAAAATGTGAATGTCAAATAATGAGATTACATGTTCTAGGGGAAACAGAATTGAAATGCATTTAGTAGCAGAATGTATTGAATTGAATAATATGCAGAACATATAAAAATGATCATTCATTACTAAGGACATTTTAGGAGAAAACACAAAAACCACACATATGTGGGGAACAGGAAACTGATCTTGGATAGAATTCAGATGGCATATAGATTTCTCTGCATTTTGGGTACAAGCTCATATCCTGTGAGAGCTAAGGTACATTGGGTAAACTCTACCTTTTCAAACTCAAATCATTCTGAGTACTCCTGTAACTCCTGACTTGCAGTTTAAATGATACTCCATGTTACAGGGTAGTAGATGTAAGGAGGTAAAAAATACAAGTTAGGTGTGTTTTAATATTTAGCACAAAGTTTTATTAATTTTCATGCCTTTGGTAAATTTGGGGGAAAAACTTTGTTACTGTCCAATATAACTTCATGTTGAGATAAACTTATAAGCATCCTACAAACACCATTTTATCTAGAGCAGGAAACTCAGATATTGATGAGTAAATAGAGGAGTGAAGGAATGCCTGAATGAGCAAACAAACGATGGTGGAGAAAACAAGTCTCAGTGACCTAAGGCCCAGGCCATAACCCAGGCTACAGCAACCACTGGCACCCTCACCTCTGATCTGGCCGGAATCGGGCATCGGTCGGAGGAAGGAGATCCTTCAGCACAGGATCCAACTCATTGAGCTCAATGGCAAACCTTGTGAAGCCGTAGTAGAGCTCATAGTTGGTTGGCATGGAACCTGGAATGAGGTCAGTGAAGTGTTGTGTGAGGTGAAAGGCTCACAGACTGACTGAATTAGGGTGCGTGCTCAGGTAGAGCCCATGCTAACACTCAGAAACACAACGCTGTGTTCCTGTCAAATGAATTCAATTATCCATATTTTGTTAGGTAAGGAGGTTTTTGTTGATGATCAGAGATGATAGATTCATATATTTAATAAAATTCAGACTTTAAAAGAAAACCTTGCATTATAGTAATAGTTTTCATTGGCTGAACACCATGATCTTCCTCTCACATATTCAATTAGGTAACTAAAGATTAGGGTGGTTAACTATGAACATTAAAATTTCACCAAGAACGTCTGTTACTTATCTCCCCTTAAGAAAGAAAAAGATGTGATGTAAAAATTTATTGGCATTTCTTTAAAAATTGTTTTATTTTTTACATTTATTTATTTACTTATTTTGGGGTATGTGTGTGTGTGTTTGAACATATATGCAATGCTTCTGTTTCTCCTTCTACCATGTGGGTTGCAGGGACTGAACTCAGGTGTTCAGGTTTGGCAATAAGTGTGTTCACTGGGCCATCTTCCTGGCCCTTTAATTTTTTTAACTTTGATGTTACTTTATATATTTATATATATATAAATGTGTGTGTGTGTGTGTGTGTGTGTGTGTGTGTGTGTGTGTGTGTGTGTGTGTGTGTGTGTGTGTGTGTGTGTGTGTGTGTGTGTGTGTGTGTGTGTGTGTGTGGTGTGTTTCAACCATGTGGGTCCCAGGGATTGAATTCAGGCTACCAGGCTTAGGGGGCAAGCACCTCTATGCACTGGGTTATCTCACCAGCCCTGCCATTTCTTTTCTTTTGGTTTGTTTGTTTTGTTTTTGTTTTTTCTTTGGATAAGACCTCACTTTGTTATCCAGGCTAATCTTCAATTCCTAGAGTCAAGTGATCCTCCTGCCTCAGTCTCCCAAGTGCTGGGACTATAGGCACGTGCTACTACATCTGGTAGTGAAGTGCCCTACCGTTGATTTCTAGCCCCAATCCCTTATTGGCATTTATTAGCAAATTCTAAGGCAGAATCTTTGCATGCTTTACTTATTGAAGTATTCCAACCTCCTAGAACCAAATCCAATACATAATCAGTGCTCAGTAGTTACAATGAATGAACTAACCCTTCTGTCAGCAGGAAGTTAAAATGCTCATCAATGTCCTTTAGAAAACCCATAACTAATTTTAAAGCTAGAGATTAACTGACAAATCCCAATGAAAATAAATGTCATGTCGAGGTTTTTCCATTTATACTTGATATTCAATTATATGCCAATGTATTCCAGGACTATTGTTGTCTTTTATTAAATGTCAAAATACTGCAGTTTTTTTGTTGTTGTTGTTGCTTAAGTGAAAAGATCACTTACTGTGGTCTCAGGATTATAGATGTTCACAAGATTTTTCTTTGTTTTTGTTAAAACAGAAATTAAGTAATAGAATAAGACTTTTATATATTTCCACTACTTATATTATTAAGTACACCTAGCTTTTGACATGTATGCATTATGTTTGAAGCAATTTTCCACACCAGATTTTAATTGTCATTTTATCACATACCAGAGATTTGGCCTATATTTTTTATTTCAAGTATCAAATAGTGGATTTCACATATAACATATATTCAGTATAAATGTAACTACAACTGCCCTAAGCATCAAATTTAAATCGAAAAATCTCATTGATCAAGAAAATGCAAGGCAAACTGTTGGGATACCCTGACATCCCTTCCCTTCTGCTGCCCGTGGTCCTCCTGATGTAGGATGCCCTGATAGTCACCTGGTCTCCAGATGCACTTTGCAGAGGGAGCCACACCACAGTAGAGCCCTTCATGCCACTTCCCAAAAAGCCGGTGTACTGCCTTCCCTTCCTGATCCATCACTACCCCCTGGACTTCATTCACGTTGGAGTTCCAATAATTCACCTGGGAAACATAAACAACCCCAATCACTTTAATAACAACACCTTGATAATTTCCATGTGGAAACTTCTTTACCTTGAAGTTCCTCATTCAAATTTCTAGAAATCCATCTCAATGTGATTTTTATATATGGATCTCTCTGTCTCTGTATTCCTCCCTCCTCTCTCCCCTCCCCTCTCTCCTCTCTCTCAGTAGGGTCTCACTAATGTATCTTAGGCTGGCCTGGAACTCACTGTGTAGCCCAGGCTGGCCTCAAACTCAAAATCCTTTTGCCCCAGACTCCCAAGTACTGGGATTACTGGGTGTGCCATAGCAACTGGCTAGATTAACTTCTATGAAATGGGTGGTCATGGGACTAAGGGTATACCTCTCAGCACTGGCCTACTATGGGAGTACAGTTCTGAGCACTGGGGGTGGTAGAGCACTGGCCTGGCATGGTCAAGGCCTGGATTTGATCCCATAATATCATGAAAACACGATGATCTTCATTCCATACTATAGCATGGTAGGACAGCAGTTTCTAGCTAAGATCAATTTCTAGCCTAAAAACCCAATATTAACTTATAGGTTGGCAATTTCTTTCTTCAGTTCCTCTTGTCTTGACTTCTGCCTTTGCTCATGGAGCTTAATGAACTTTTTTTTTTTTTTTTCCCCTTTGAGACATGATCTCCCTGTAGCCCCAGCTGGCCTAGAATTCATTATGTAGACCAGGCTGACCTTGATCTCAATAGAGATCTGCCTGCTTCTGCCTCCTGAGTGCTGGAAGATAAAAGCAAGCACCATGGCAGGTTCTTAATGAACTTCAACTGGCCACGTTATTAACATAATTAACAAGGCCTATAACATACTTAACACAGAGGTAATGCTGTATGTTCTACTTCAGACCAGAGTTACTGAGGGAAAATAGTGTTCGTGGGCATTTCTGTCCCCAACTTCTTTTCTTGTTAATACAAGTGATGCTTTTTCTTCACCTGATTTGGATTACTATAGTAGCAGGGGTTGGGCAGATTTGCAACAAAGCTCTCAGCTACCTGGCGGCTGCTGTATTTTCAGAAATGACTACTACATTATTATTGGCTCCCTAAAATAAGCTCACTTGACTATATTATATTGTAATGAAGCGGGAACAGAAACAGAAACCAGAAGGCTCAGTATAGGCAAGAAATACATTCCGGAATTTTATGTACTAAACTACTGGCTGGTTATATAAAAAGATTCTTTAAAAACAAACATTTCTGTCTTGATATGGTATTTTTTGACATCTACATATTCAGAAGCCTATGTACCTTTAGCAACTCTACAGGTCAGTTTTGCTGTCTTGTCTAAAATGCTCTAAGACTAATGTTATAAGACAGATTTACTTTGCGTTCTTCCTTAGGAAGAAGCATTTTGTATGATTCTTCCGTTTCTATTCTGTGGTATTATTTACCTTGACAAACGTGAGTTTGCAAATGCATACACTGCTTTTGGTATTTCTAATGGTTACTTCTCCGTAATGCTCGATCCATCTTCTCCCACTGAGGATGTTGTGTATGCATGTGGTGACTTTATTCCACACATAGTAATCACCATACCTAGTGAAGAATATGGCACTGATCAGAAACAGTGGACACAAATACATTAATGTTCCTACAAATGAGAATACTCTTTGAGTAAAGCTTCCCTTTCCATCAGTCCATTCTCCCCTGCCCCATTTCTTCGAAGCCTTTGTATGGTCATAAATATGCATGGCATGACTTATTCATTTAAGAAAGAACACTGAAATGCTCTTTGTGGGCCTGAAGCAATAAAGTTGAACAAGGCCTCTTTCCTGCCTCTGAGTATGATAGGGATATAGCAACATGTAAACAAATACTCAAAGTCAAGGATCATGAAAGTTGTAGCATACAATGAACAAAGCATCGTGTGGACACAAAGGGGGTGTCTTTAGTCCTCAGATTTGCCTGGAACATGGGCTAAGTGTCAAACAAGATGTCCTAGATTGGGTTTACGGTGCTTGGATGGGGACAGGGCACCAGGTACTGGAGTAAGCAATTACTAGCCACAAGGGCCAAAAAAAGCATGGCATCTGGGGGCTGTAAGTGCTATGCTTCAGATAAGTGGTGGGAGGTGGGGAGGGCAAGGTCATGAGGCAAGGCAGAGAAGGCTTTTAATGACCTACCAAACAGTTTCCATTTGCTAGCAGGCATTGTGTAACTGTGGAAGGACTGGAGGAAAGAGAAGGCTGAACCAGGTATGCATTTGAGAATGATTACACTCAGAACACTGGGCTGTACTAAAGTTAAGAGCAAAGGCAGAGTAATTCTTTAGGGAAAATATGGACAATCATCACTAATGACACAAATCTACTGAAGATTCTGGAGAGTTACAGAATGTCTGCTCAGCAACAAAATGGCACAGTCACAAATCAAACTTAAGTTTATTCATTATGTATATTTTCAAGTACAATGTTATTTCAAAATAAAATGTTCTAATTGATATGATATAGGCTACAAACACCAAGGAAGACTCTTCTTCATGAGTTTTCAAATACTGAAAGTTTATTTCTTTCACCTTACCTTCTTTCATATCCAGTCCACCACTACTCTGTGTGCGTGTGTGTGTGTGTGTGTGTGTGTGTATGGAATGTTTATGTGAATGCAGGTGCATGCATGCCATCATATGTGTGTGTGGTCAAAGGACAATCTCAAGTGCTGGTCCTCGACTTCTACTTTGTTTGAGACAGTCTCTTTGTTGTTTTTTCTCTGCATACACCTGGCCGGATGGCCTGCCAGTTTCTGGGGACTCTTGTCTCCCACCTCCCATCTCCCCATCAGAGTGCTGGGTTATAAATGCTTGTACTATGTGTCCAGCTTCTACATGTGTTCTGGATTTGAACTAGGCCCTCAACCTTGTGCTGAAATGTTTTTACACACTGTACCATCTCCCCAGCCCCTGGCCCCAGCACATTTTGCCATCCAAATAGAAAACCAAAACCAATGAAATAACAAAGTCATGTCCTTGTCCTCAACATAAACATCAATTAATTTATTTTAAAAGATTTCTAGCCTACATCTTCTAATTCTTTTTATATTCTCTACAATACATAAATGGATTCTTTCTTTTTTGAAAAAAAAAAAAACACCTTAAAAACAAAATAGGCCCATTTCTAAGTAAGACAGATGCAAAAGTGAAATCATAAACTATATAGAAAAGAAATGGATAAAAGGAGAACTTTCATATGAAACATAGACTAACAGGGTTGCAGGGACATGGCAGGTACCTGGTTTGGGCTGATGAAAGGAGGATGTCAGGAGAGGTTATTTGTTTTTGTGGGAGTCCATACTGAAAACTGTGTTGAAGGTAACAGAGACTTTGGGCATATAGGGAAATGGACCTTCTAGTCTAATGTAACCATTGCTGACTTGGAAGAGCAGTTCACAGGCCAAAGAGAAGAGGAGAGCAACCTACTTTGGAAGCATGACATTCAGGGTCCCAACAGGTAGGATTTCCATCGACTTCCCCCAGAACTTATTTTTCCATCTGATATCTAAATGAAGATAAAAATAAATACTCTATGTTTGATTATGTGTTCTGTAAAAACTAACATTTGTATTATATTTTACAAAGCACTTTTGCAATTACAGTTGGTTCTGGATTGTAGATTAATATGAGAAGGGCCTGAAGATAGCCAAAGTGAAAAGCATTGCGATTCTCCCCAAGTTTGCTTTTTTGTTCCTCCACAATCATGCCCTCTGTATTTACATTTAACAAAACAAATTCCAGGAGCTCCGAGTAAAATGTATGTATGGGGGGGGGTGCATTGACATATGCATATGAACACAAGCCCCACACAGTGCTTTAATCTCCTGATAATAATAAATGTTAAGTTTAACTAAATGGTACAAATAGTCAGCATATATATCAAGCCTGGAGTATATGTAAAAATAATTGCAGTATGGCAATACTGCTGATCGACATATACATTTCCCTCCTGCGTAGAGGATTTATATATCTTGGGAGAACAGTATACGTCTTCGGAGAACAGTTTTTAAAAAAGTAAAGTAAACTTCTACATGCAGAGAGAAGATTTATGAGAAAGTGGGATTAACTTAATAAACATGTTCTTGCGTTGGCTAAGATACAGCCCGAGGCCCAGCACTTTATCTTTCACAGTGGTTTTATGTTTTACCTGTAGAGACTCAGATTTCCTGCACATATGTAATAACTACCTGGTCCCATTTTGATAAACTAAGGGAGCATAGGGCTGTCTTCACAAAATTTCTGACTCTTGGTTACAACTAAGAAATAATTTATTATCTTATTTTGCAATAAAGTCAGATTACAGTGTTAGAGTAGCAGTAAAGGTCCATTAAGAGAAACTGCTTTCATGTCAAGAGAATAGAATGTTTGGCTTGGGTGGAGACCTAACATTTCAGTGATCAACTGGCCAAGGGACCACCCCAAGGCAGGATTACCTTGAGACTTACTAAAGAGAGAGAATAATTAGTCCTTTAGTGAGATAATGCACTTTTTCTCCCCACAATCCCCTCCCTTAGCGCAGTAACTTTCAGGCCATACATCTTCCGTATGTCTGCCTGCTTTTGTAAATTTTCAGGAAAGTGTAACCTCTCCTTCTCTTCTATTTCTTTTCTAAGCATGTTTTCCCCAACATTTTGGGTTTTCTGACTGTCTGCCATGTGTCTGCCCTCCATGCGTGGCTTTTCTCCTTCCCTCCATCCGCCTCTTCCTCTGGGCAGTTGCTGAGATTTACAGCTTGCCTGCCCTGAGGGTTTTTCTTTTAAACTTTGATAGAATTGTCTTTGAGCATCCTGTTCAAGTCCATTCTTAAATTCTTTTATTAATGAGACTAAGAACCAAAGAGGGGATTCTGATTTTCCTGTCATCAACAGTGTTCTATCATTCTGTGTTTTCAAGTTAAGAAAACGCTGGTGAGAACAGTCTGTCTGTGAGCAATGAAACACCCTTCCAAAGATGAAGGAGCTATTTCAAATGCAACAGCCAAATCTACATACATGTTCTTTTCTTTCCAAAGGGATTTTGAAACTTTATTTTAGGCAAGGCTGTAAAATTCTAACAGAATAGTGGGCAATAATAAGGACAGACTTCATTTCAAATCTCTGAGCTCCAGTAGTTAAAAGATTGTGAATCACTGCAATGTTCAGACTGTCTTGCCTTAGGCAGGGGTGGGGGGTGGGGGGTGTTGTTCCAAAACATCTACAGATAATGAAATTCGAAGATGCTCAAGTCCTTATATAAAATGGCAAAATATTTGCATATAAAATACACTCTCCTTTTAATACTTATTACCTCTAGATTAGCTATAACTAATCTAATGCTGATGCTATGTAGTTATGTTATATTGCTTAAGAAATAAAGATAAGAAAAATATTCTGTATATTCAGTATAGTTTTTTTTGAATATTTTTCATATGTGATTGGTTGAATCTATGGATGTGGAACCCATGGTTATTATGGTGAACTGACTAGATAACTAAATAGACTTTGCAAGGAGCTCTGCTATTCTACAGGCTCAGCCATCTCATCCCCAAGATAGCACTGTTTAATATTAAATGAGGAAATTCAATTTTTCAAACCAATCTCTACCAACATTTACCAGTCTCTGAGTTCCAAAGGTAGAAATCTAAACTGAGGGGCTGGAGAGATGGCTCAGAGGTTAAGAGCCCTGACTGCTCTTGCAGAGGACCCAAGTTTGATTCCCAGCACTCACATGGTGGCTAACAATGGTCTGTAACTCCAGTTCCAGGGGATCTGACGCCCTCTTCTGACCTCAGTGGGCATTGCATGATACAGGTGCACTTACATTCATGCAGGCAATACACTCACACACGTTAAAAAAAAAAAAAAAGAAAGAAATCTAAACCGAACTGATACAGTACTTTCAGCAGCTGTTAGTTTTTTCATAGGCTTATACGTTTGACTTTAAATTGTAATTGAAATACAAACCTTGCCAAAACACAAAATTCTTTGATTCACAGTGACAGGCAGAAATAGGTGGATGATGGCTAACCTGGTAATAGAAAAACAAAAAGGAAAGCAAGGACACTAGTATTCAAACTTCTATAAAGGATTTTTTTTTATTTGCTTGTTTTTTGAGACAGGGTCTCATGTAGCAAAGGCTGGCCTCAAACTTGCTATGTAGCCAAGGCTGGCCTTGAATTCCTGATCCTACTGCCTCTATTTCCCAAGCCTGATAGGAATTTATAGGCATGTATTACAATACCCAGATAACTGATGATATTTTAAAAAATATAAACTTACAGCAATGGAGACAGCATGCGCAGGACCCATGCAAGCTCAAACCAGACAAAAACCTAGCATAGAAGTGGGGAAGTGGGTAAGAAGCCCCAACCTTAGTGGGGACTACTGGTAACCGATGACTACTAGGAGAGAGGGAGTTGGTGTTCTTTAAGGAAATTCAATATCTATAAATATTCTTTAAGTGCGTGACACTTGATAGGCTGACCAGGCCCCAGTGTATGAACTTGCAGCAAGGGATATTTGGGGACACAAACTTGGTTCAATAAAGCATAACGTATATGACAGAATGCATAAACTCTGGTTGGAGGGGCAATGGGGTGCAGATAGGGGAGGAGGTCTAAATATGATCAAGATGTATCAAGTTTGCAAAAATTCAATTAAAAAATACGATTGTCACCTCCTCCATGAAAACAACATCCCATTCTATTAGTGAATTAATCTCAAAATTATAAGTAAATCTTTAATTTAAAAAAATTTAAATTACATTTACTTATTTATGTGTGCCACAGTCTACATGTAGAGGTGAAAGGAAAACTTGCAGGAGATGGTCCTCTCCATTCGCCATGTGGGTCCCGTGGATTGAATCCAGATTGTCAGGCTTGGTGGCAAGCACTTGTATCCACTGAGCCATCTCTCTGGCCCCAGTAGATCTTTCATTTTTAAGACTTTATGCTTAAGACAGAGCACTTATGCTCATTTAGAGGGGACACTGATATAGTTAAGCGAGTTTTCTGTTCACTGGTACGATAACCTGTTTCAAACACATATTATCAAAAGAGGTTTTTCATCACCAACCTGTCCTCTTACTTGAATAGAAACATTACTTACTTGTTCTGAGAAAAACCGAAATCCCTTATCTTCTCTAATGCATTCATAAGTCTCCCCGAGGACTGGGTTGAATGGCTTACTTCCTGCTCTGAAGTAGGTGGAGCAGTATCCTGATACTGCAAACGCAGCAACAAGAACCTGTCAAAACAATCAAGAAAGGAAAACAATATGGGAGAGACTACTGCCAGGTCCATTTGCGGGCATTCCTGTAGATTTTATACACCCCATGTCAACCGGAGCCAAGTTGATGCCATTTGTATTTTCAGTTATTTGCACACAATCTTCATCTCTACACGGGGTGGAGATAAGTTAAAATGAGGTTAAATAACCCCCATGAGAACCAGCAAGCCATGAAGGCAAGTGCTCTTCATTCATGTGTCCAATTAATTTGTTTGTATCACAGAGCTCAAATGTTCTGAAAGCCAGTCTGTAGGCCATGCCAGTGTACAATCTTAGACCCACAGGCAGGCAGGTGTGACTGCTTGTGCTTGTTAGAGGACTAGGCAAGTTGTCCAGGCTCATGGAGTAAGGGCAAAGAATCAAAGCAAGTTCCTTTCTTAGCATTAAGTTTTCTGAATAGACAGGTTCTCCTGGCATTCAGAAATAGCTGATAAAGGCCCAGCATGTATTTAATCTCTAAGGAGTCTGATCTTTCCTTAACTTTAGGAACACTCTAGCCAGCAGGTATGTTCAACCTGCAGCCCATGGGCCATATGCATTCCAGAATAGCTATGAATGTGGCTCAAATAGGGTTGTGAATGGCAACATAGCAATGTCAAAGATTGGGCACCACCATGGGAGTCTAGGGCATGGAAAACGCCTATGTGCAGCTTCTAATTTAGAATATCAAGAACTTTCTGGCCCTGCTTGATTATGCAAGCAGACCAATTCTTCTCCAATACCTATGCTGTGTAATGTTGTACAAAAACCAAATGTGCCATCATAATGGCTGTGGTCTAGTCCAGGTCCCTGAAGGGCGCTGGCCTGTCCTTTCTTACCATCCGCTCATATGGGTCATCGGTCTCTGAGGCCTTGTCCAGGAGCTCGCTGTACTCCATCTCCTCACAGAGGTGCTGGAGAGTGTTGAGTGGCTCATTGAGCTCCACAGGCATTGAGACCTTTGACAAGTCTTTGCCGATGTTGTTCCTCAAGATATTCCACAGGTTAATGTTACTGGTGTCAGGGCAAGGAGCAGGTAGGCACGTGCGGCGGCCGTTCCGGAAGGCGCCTCCTGTAAGTTCCCCATTCAGGACTGGGAGGGGAAGAAACAGAGTGAAAGAGGCTTTGCCTTTCTGATTTCATAAAATCAGGGAGGACAAGAGAACTCTTTTATAGAATTTTGATTTGACTACATTTTATTATAGCCTCCAGAATAGGATCAATTCTATATAACAAATCCACAAAACATCAGAGTATAATTGTTTTTAATGTGTATGAGTGTGTTTTGCCTGTATCTAAGTGCGCCATATGCATGTAACAACCACAGCCAGAAGAGGGGAGCAGATCCCCTGGAACTGTAGTCAAAGATGGTTATTAGCCACCATGTGAGTGCTGGGAACCAACCCTGGGTCCTTTGCAAGAGCAATATGTGCCCTTTAATTGCCGAGCCATCTCTCCAGCCCTCTCAGAGTATAATTTTTTAAAACAAGGATTTAAATACTCACAAGTATTATTTAAGAAATGACAAGTCAGCTGGGTATGGTGACATGCCTTTAATCCCAGCACTGAGGAGGCAGAGGCAGGTGAATCTCTTTGAATCAGAGTCTAGCCTCATCTACACACACACACACACACACACACACACACACACACACAAAAGAACGATTTCATGTTTGGGTCTTTTGCCTCTTTACAAGAGGTAAAATCTTTTTACTTAACCATTCACCCAACAAGTTTTATAACCACATATCTCAACAGATTATGCAAAACAAAGTTTATGAACAATTAACTGAAAAATGGACAGTTAGCAAGGGGAAAGGTGAATGACTGTTCATTGATACACCAGTGTTGTAAATTTGGCATGTAGATAGAACAACCTGGAAGTTCAAATGATGCATACTTTGCCGAGAAATATTGTCTGCGACACTGGTGTTGTCCTCAGATATGTTGTCACTCACATCACTGATGTAAGACTCGTCATCTGAAGCCTAAGGAGGGAAGAACAGAGGCAGTGTGAGAGTACTTACTATATGCTTGTCTAGAAAGCTCTGATAATCAAGTGGTTAAAAAGAGGCAGAGGCAAGCAGATCTCTGTGAGTTCGAGGCCAGCTTGGTCTCCATAGTGAATCCAGGCCAGCTAGGGCTACGGGGAGACCCTGTCTCAAAAAAAAAAAAGAAAAAAAACACCCTCCCCCCCCAAAAAACCCAAAGTATATTGCTGGGCATGATGGTGCACACCTTTAATCCCAGCACTTGGGAGGCAGAGGCAGGTGGATCTTTGTGAGTTCGAGGCCAGCCTGGTCTACATAGTGAGTTCCAGGACAGCTGGGGCTACAAGGAGACCCTGTCTCAAAAAGACCAAAAAACAATAACAAAAACCAAAGTATCAAGGCAGGCATGGGTGTGCATGCCTTTAATCCCAGCAACCTGGAGGCAGAGACAGGTGGATTTTCCTGAGATTGAAGCCAGCCTGATCTGCACAGTGAGTGAGATCCACAGGCTAGCTGAGACTACAGGGAGACTCTGTCTCAAAAAGACCAAAACAAACAAACAAAAACCAAAACAATCAAAGAAAAGCCAAAGTATTGCTCAAATGAGAAACAGATGCCACAGTGAGAAACGTTCATATGTTCAAGGAGTGCTTGAGGGGCTTCTCCAAGCCAGGACAGAAAGTAGAAAGGAATCCCTGTTTTGAAGTAACTTCTCATCTTAATGGGTCGGAAGCTGGTGGAAGCCAATATGCTTAATTCAGGAAAGAATACACATAAAGGAAGGCCCGTGACTCCATATAAAGGCTTCTAGAGAGGCTGCCCAGAGCCCAGTGTTACTGAGCTGGGTGCTGGAGTGCAAATAGGAGTTGCCCAGTCCTTACAAGAGGCTGAAGCATAGGAAGGAGGGAGAAGACCACAGGCTCCAGGGAGGGAACATTTACCCGAGGAGTACTGGGAGGGTGAGAGTGGCTGTGATAGAGGGTGGGGAGGACAGGAAGGGGGCATGAAGTGATGGGCTTTCTGTGCCAACCTGAAGGGTTATTAAAAACCAACAAACTACCAGAACGACTACACAGAGTCAGATTTAGTTTTCTAGAAGATGTTTGGCAGCTTCTTTAGGGAGATGTGATGAGAGGAAAGATCCGGGCAAGAAATTTTGACAGTCTAGAATTAGACAGCTGTAGGGAGAATAGGGAGAAATCAAGAATGAAGCCACTCTTTATGAAAGAAACAAGGAGCCAAAGCGAAACCAGTGGGGCAGGGATGCAGCTCAGTGGAAGAGTGCTCGTCTACCATGTGCAAGGCCCTAGGTTCATCCCAAGGACTGAAAAAACAAAAAAAACATATCAAAACCAAAACTGACATAAAAATAAAATAGATAATGTATATACTAAGGGGTCTTAGAGCAGATAAGAGAGGGCCACAAGTACTATAGGCAGGGTTAGAAAACCAAGGTCTTCACTACAGGCAAGAAAACAGATGATGCTCCTTACTTTCTTCAAAGTGGAAAGAGTGATATATTTTTTTCTGCACACAAAACCAAACATTTTTATTATGAAAATGTTAGAGTTACATGAGAATAAACAGAGTCTGAAAATCACCTGTAATCCTAACAAGTAAAGAAACAATTGAGTTATCCTCTGATTTCAAAATGTCTGCATGAACACACCATGCCTATCTTCAGCTACTGACAAAGACCAGTGTCCATGCTGGCTTTGTTGATTTGTTTTGGTTTATGCTTTAAGATAGGGTCTTGCTATGTGGTTTTGGCTGACATGTAACTCACTATGTAGAATAGGCTGGACCATTTACAGTGACCCTCCTGCCTCTGCTTCCCGAGTTGCTGGAATAGGTACATGAGTGTCACCATGTCTGGCTCCTTACTATTTTACAGTGTTTTGGATACATTTCCATTACAATAGCTATAACTCTTCATATATTTGGAAAGACAGTATATTTCATTATACATTACACAAGAATCAACCACTTTGTAGGTAGCTTCTGTTATAGACAATAGTTGGATAAGCACTTTTGTTGTTTATCTTTCACAGTTTTTCTGTTAACATATATATTGCATTTTTCCTAGTTTACAATTTATTTTTTTACATATTTTTTATTTTTCAGAAGAAGCATTTCATTACAGCTTTAACATACTCAATAAGAGTTTCCAGAGCAAAGGTATATCTCTTTCAAAAGTGGCTATAAAATTTTTAGGTTTATTTTTAGGTATAACTGAATTAATGCAGTTTACAATATTAAACTCAATATAAACCCTGTAAGACATAACACTGAATGAGTTTTTAACCTTTAAAAAAGATCTCCATTTCATTTTAAAATATAATGTTTATTATAGAAAGACTCATTGTTTTTACTAATAACACTGAGATGTTGGCGCATGCGTCTCTAATCTGTATGTATCTGATTATTAATAGGTCATAAACGGTTGTACTTGGATCCTTGGCACCTGTATATGGATATAAAACCATCAGGTAGATTTCAATGGTATTGTTTATCACCTCTACTAATTAATATGATGTAAGTTTTTATGCTTCCTCCTCAAATATAATTCATTTAAAAAAAGTTGTTGCTTTTTTTTTGTGTGTGTGTGTATATCACACAGAACATCCCAAATCATCTTATTCAACTAACTTTTTGCCACTAAAAGTTTTAAAAATTGTATGCAGGGGCTGGAGAGATGGTTCCAGCATCAGTGACAGACCATGTGTCAAAAAACAGAGAGAAGAAGACAGAGGAAGACAGAGGAAGTCGACCTCTGACCTCTACAACATGTGTGTATGCATGTGCCACACACACACACACATACACATACACACACACACATACACACACACACAGAAACACACAGACACAGGAACACATACACCACAAATATACATAAAGTACTTCAGTAAATAAATTAGGGTTTAAGAGTTCATATATCTAGAATGATACTCTGTCAGTATGACTGCATGCACGCATGAGTGATTAATAGGAGTTTTGCTTTTGCACATAAAGTCTATAAAGATGACAAACTGAGAATAAAATCCTTTTCTGATTCATATTTTCCCACTGTACTTGGTTTCCACAGATCTTACTGACTGTAACAGAGCTAGATCGTTAGCCATCAGGCTCAGAAAATCTGACTGTTTCAGCTTGGTAGTGAATAAAGGTAAATCAAACTTTTCTACTCAATTTTTCTTTAGAAACAAAAAAAGAGGTAATCACATTCAATTACATTTGAGGAGACAAATGCCTACCGAATCAAATTTATATCAGAAGCATATTTATTATTTGAACATTTATCAAGAAAACACTCATGTTTATCCTACAAAAAGCAGTCTATTCCTCTTCAATTTCTTATCTCTCCCAAACTATATGTCATAAATGATCCAGTACTGCTGGAATGAAATAATTCTGCAATGACAGTGGGGCTGAGTATGATGTGTGCATGCTGTAAGTTTGTGTCTAGAAAGAGGGTCTGGGCTCCTCTGCTGTGGTCTTCTCACGGGACCCTATCACAGACCAAGGCTCTGTGGTGTTAAAATAAAGGTTTGTCTTCTTCCCTATGATCTAGAAACGCAGGAGCCAAATACTTTTGTTTTGAACGTCAGGATTCAAAGAGTTCAGGAAATAGATTTTTCTAAATATGACCAGGTATCTCCACTTCAGAAACTGGTATAAAAGCAGAGACCAGGCAGGTAGATTACTCTGGAGACAAGGAGACCAGTATTTCTTTTTTTTTTTTTAACTTAAAAAAAAACTTTATTGAGAATTTCATACACACATATAAGGTGTTTTGATCAAATCCACGCCCACTGTCTCCCCTACAACACCTCCCTCCCATATTTCCCCATCACTTTTTTCTGACTTCATGTACTCTTTCTTTCTGTTTCCTTCCTTCCTTCCTTTTCTTTCTTCCTTCCTTCCTTCCTTCCTTCCTTCCTTCCTTCCTTCCTCCCTCCCTCCCTCCCTCCTTTCTTCCTTCTCATGGTTTTCTTTGTTTCTTTGTTTCTTTGTTCCTTCCTTCCTTTCTTTCTTTCTTTCTTTTTTTAAATGGGACTTTTTGCTACTCTAACATTCCCCCCTCTGAAGAGGTAACCCTAAATCTTTTAGGGATTAGATAAGCGTTCCCAAATACTTTTATGTATCTTTTAGGAGGCCATTTTCTTAAAAGGAGCTGAGGACTCATTAACTAAAATACACTGCTAGATACACCGTATCCAGAGGATTTTTTTTCTCTAGTCAGGGAAATGTTAATGTGAGGTGCTTCTCAGAATAATCATGGTTTAATGACCTTTGTTCAGCCAATAAATATTCATTGAGTGCCCCCTCTGGATTTCCACTCCCCGGATTGTTCTAGCTAGAAACAGAGTGGTAAAGTCTCGACCTTCATGGAACCTGTGAAACACATGAAACAAGTGAAATGTATGAAACACAGATCACGTCAGGTAGTGATAACTGGGAGGGAAAAATAGAGAAGACACAAAAGGTTAGAAGAGAAAAGGAAATGACAGCTCTAACTTGCAGATAGGTCAGCAGCCTGGGCTTTCCTGAAGGTGACTTTGAACAAAACTGAATGGGAGGGAGAAGCTTAACATACAGCTCTCTGGAAGAAGTGTTCCAGACAGCATGATGGCAAATGCAGAGGACCCGTTTCCACTGGCAGCTGCGGTGCAGAACATACAACCTGCATGGATTGTATGGAATCCTATTGCTAGGATTCACGCCTACACTCAGCTCACTAGGTGGGCTTGCAGGGTGTTTAGTGTAAAGACTTGAGGAGCTTCTGGGGAGCTCTCAGCAAGAGGAACCTTTAGAGACTGGAGCAGATGAAACTGACCCAGGATCAAACCTTAACTGAAGTAGGCAGGCAACTCTGAGAACAACATGACAGCTCACTTGAGTTTATTTCCTGGTCTAACTCCTTCAAATGCTTAAGACTAAGCACTGTGATAAAAAGAAGATTTAAGTTCAAGCAGGAGTTTCTAAAAACCAATAAAACAGGAGGGTGGGGGGAGCTAGAGAGATGGCTCTGGTTAAGAGTACTGGTTGTTCTTGCAGAGGACTCAGGTTCAGTTCCAAGCTCCCACATGACAGCTAATAACCATCCATAACTCCAGTTTTGGGGATCCGATACCCTCTTCTGACATCCATGAACATTGCACAACACAGGTGCACTTACATACATGCAGGTAATATACTTACACATGTAAAAAAAACAAAAACCCATGAGCCACAATAAGTGCACAGTTCAATTCTTTCCAGTAATGGGCCGTAAGAAAGGGGCATAAAGTGCCTTTAGCAAATCCATGACTCTAGGAATCACTCCATTGGCTATTGGGAGGCTCCAGAATAAAAAAGAATTAAAAAGTAACACAGGGCTGTGCCTGAGTGCAGGGATCTTCTTTGTGTGATAATTAAGTAGTAAATTGTTATAAGAATACTGGGGACTAGGGGCAATGATTAGATATGTCTTGTAGAGATATTAATTAGGTTGCCTAGTGGAAAGCAGATTAGAGAGGAAGAGAGGCAAGAAAACCAGTTATGGGACTGAGTAAGTGACTGGGGCGTGTAGAAGGGGGTGGACTGTACTGGAATAGTGACAGCTGAGCGGCATGAAATGGTGGATCTGAGAGTATGGAGATGGGAGCATCCATACAGGCTGTGAGCGGACAAATACGGGTGGTAAGAGAAAGGAGTGAAGGAAAATACCCAAGTATCGCATATAAACACCTGGGCCTAGGAACCAAAGACAATCAAGGGAGAGTTTGGATGGGCTGTTTGCATTCCTGAGCTGGTTAGTTTTTGTCAACTAGAGACACCTGGGAAGGAGGAACCTCAATTGACCAATTTCCTCCACAGGACTGGCCTATGGGGCATTTTCTTGATTGCTGATTGATGCAGGAGGGCCCAGCCCACTGTACACAGTGCCACCCCCCATGCAGGTGGGCCTAGGGTGTACCAGAAAGGTAGCTGAGCAAGCCAGAAAAAGCAGGCCAGTAAACAGCATTCCTCTATGGTCTGTGCTTCAGCTCCTGCCCTGGCTTCCCTCACCTTTTTCTCCCTAAGCTGCTTTTGGTTAATGTTTTATCACAGAAGTAGAAAGTAACTAGGACAATTATTTTTTCATTATTATTTTTTATTTTTTAACCTTAAAAATTTTTTTTATTATTTTTATTTTATGTGTATGTGTGTATTGCCTGCATGTAGGTAAGTGTACTGTGTTGTGCAATGCCCATGGAGGTTAGCAAAGGCTGTCAGATCCCCTGGGACTGGAGTTACAGACAGTTGTTAGCTGCCATGTGGGTGCTGGGATTCAAACCGGGGTCTTCTGCAAAAACAACCAGTGTTCTTAACTGCTGAGCCATCTCTCCAGCCCCCTAGGACAATTCTTTAGGGTGTTCATATGTGGAAGGGGTTTGTTGATCAAGTTTTTTGGACATGATGAATTCTGTGATAATGCTGTGAGCACCAGGTAGCAATGTCTAACAGGAAGATATGTGGTTATGGAACCAAATCTTTCTTTTCAGACCTGCTCTGTTCTTGAGTTTTACTTAGCCTTGACTATCTAAATGCCTGACGGATGACCTGTAGGGATCTGACAAACTCATGATACTTCAAAGTGAACTATCATTTTTAGGTTGGATGTGACCCCTTCATCTCTCTTTCTCTGCCATTATGCTCATTCTTCCCTTGGAAGGCACCACATCTTGCTTGGACTTATGTAATAATCTGCTTCTGCATCCTCCTCATTTCTTTGTCTCCAGAGCCTCAGGAAAGTGGTAGCTGGACACATGGCTTAGTGTCCACCAAGAACTTGGAAATAGGAAAATAGAGGTGCTCTCATAAAGACAAACTATAAGGACAATGGATGATGATGGTAGGTTCCAAGCTCAGATAATGTGCACTGAAGTTTAATTGTAACTTAATTGAAGAAGGATGGAGACTTGGTCAGCAATGGGAACTCAGAAAAATCAGAGTCAGAAAAGAAAACTGTAGCTTTGGAGGCTAAAGCAGGAGGATTCTGAATTCGGGGCCAGTCTGTGAAAACAAGACCATATCTTAAAAAGAAAAGGGAAAAGGGAAAGAAAATTGTGGGAGCACGCCCGCAGCATGGTGGCCCCAAGGGTTAGAAAGAACACTAGTGCATCCCTCATCTCTGACCAGCAAGCTTCCTGATACAATGTGAGTAGGCCAATACTGGCTAAGTTTTAGCGAATAAGAGACTGCAGAGTATGTGTCCCTGGATAGGACTGCTATATTAAACCTCACCCACTCATGGCTCAGGGACCATCACGGAAAAGGGGGCAGAAAAGTTGTAAGAGCCAGGGTAGGTCGATGAACATAGGGAAACAGAAGTTTTCAGGGCACTGGAAGCTTGCTCATGTGAACTTGTGGCAATGGTGGTGTCCTGCACAAGACCCATGCCAACTCAATCAAAGGCCTAGTGTGGAGTGAGGGAAATATGTGGTGGGCCGGCCCTAGCCTGGGAACTGTTGGGAACTGATTACTGTTGGGTGAGGGAGAATAGATCTTTCTTAAGATCTCTAGATAGGCTGGCTAGATAGGTTGACCAGTGGATAAACTTGCACAAAAGGACATCTGAGTACAAATGCTTGACTGGATAGAATATATCATATATGACAGAATGCATGAGGTCTGGTAGGGAGGAATGTGGGGCATGGATGGGGAGGAGAAGTCTAAATTGGATTAAGAACTATTGTATGAAATGCACAAAAAGAATTCTAAAAAAAACAAAGAATTGTTATCAATGATTTGGTTACTCTGACACATAAATAAATGTTTCATTATTCCCTTTATTCATCAAATTTAAGAGTCCTAAGTTTCACCAGAAGTATTGCCAAGTGCTCAGGAAACAGGAAGCAACATGGCTTGCATGCTTTGGCTGTGCTAGAATGTCGGCACCTTATTGGGACATGAACACACACCAACTCAAAGTTCCAGTCTTACTTACTTTCTTTACCTAAACTCCCAGTTGCAAACAGATGAGGTGGACACGCTCAGGAACCTTACCTCATTCTCTGATGAACTTGCAGACAGGAGCACCTCTTGGGCATCAAAGAACTCTGACACAGACTCTGACATGGAGAGGCGGCTCTCATTGGCTGCTTGCTGTGACAGGGGGAGACTGACATGAATTTGCTCACCAGCCTACAGAAGAGAAAAGCATATGACAGAATCATGTTTCCCCTCTCTTAACATTGCCATTTCTTCAAATTAATCAGGTTTCTAGAGGACTCCAAACTGTGTGTTAATATGGTTGATAAGAAACGTTAACTTGCGACCATGTAAGATTCCTTCTCCTCTGTCTAAAGACTCCAAAGGCAACTCGTGATCCTATAAGTTGATTGCAAGTCTATGCTCAATTGATAATAACTGGAATTTAACAGATTAACCTCTATTGAGAAATTAGGAACATGAATTCCAGTTGAATTTATTCTCACATGCTTAGGCCTGTCATTACTAGTCAGTCTAAGTAGTATATTAAGCCTGAGAAGTATTTACACAAGTACAAGAGACAGCTAAGCACATGATATAAGAGGAACTTTTAAGACAGGCCATATAAAATTCATTTTCCAATTAGATCATGAATTGTAAACCAAGAAAGCATGACTAGAGTACTGACTGTCAGTTCAAGTAAAATACTGTTTTCATCTCTAAGTTATAAACAACTGCTTTCAAGGAAAGTTTTATTCTGAAAAATATGTAAGAATGTAATATATATTCTAATTCACACTTTAGTTTGAAGAGCTCAATTAAGGATTATTAAATTTTTTAAAAAATTATTTATTGTGTGTGTGTGTGTGTGTGTGTGTGTGTGTGTGTGTGTGTAGGACAGAGGGCAACTTGCAGCAATTGGTTTTCTCCTTCAGCTATGTAGACCCTGGGGTTTGAACTCAGGCCGTCAGGCTTGGCAGCAATCATCTTTACCTGCTGGGCCACCTTTCTGGCCATAAATATTTTTAAACAATAAATGATAGAGATATTCCTAGATTCTGGGTGGTTGAGTGACTCTAACTGTCATCAAAGATCAGGGGAAGCCTGATGGTGAATGGGAACAGGTGGGCAACTTAAGTCAAAGATAAGCTACCTTGGGATAATAGCTCCTTAGCAGTGAGATGGTAGCACCCTGTGCCTGTAGATTTATAGTAAAATATATGGCTTTGGAGCAAATATGATCTTAGGATTCATTAAAACTCTCATTTTGTTATATGCATCACTGTGTATGAAACTTTAATAGTACTCTGAAAAGTATAAGTTCTCATGTCCATAAAATAGTAAACTTTCACAATTCTGAAAGTTTTCCTGTTATTCCTTCAAAGTGCAAACTGGTAACAGCAGGTAGGTCAGAGGGCTGTTGAGACTGACAAGTGACAGGGCAATTTGAAGTGGTTAGTGCAGTGCCCAGCACACGTAAGTATTCACTTCACACTTGTTAGCTGTGGACTTGCCTATTTTTATGGCGCTAGGAACAGAAACATTCACATGCCAGGCAAGCACCCTACCACTGAGCTACACCCCCAGTTCCTGTTGGCTGTTAATTATCACAGCCATCATGAGATGGAGTTCAAGCTGAATTATCAGTTTTATTGTAGCAAAAGCAGATAATTTCTCTCCACAGAGAACTTCTTCCAAAGAAACCTTCAGCCAACTTTTATTTAACAATTTCTCAGCTAAAAATTTTCAACATTTTATCGCACATTTGGTAATAATGAGCATCTTAAATAAAGAATGAGACAGACATGGAAAATTAACAAACTGGAGTAGACACATAAATTATTTGGTGACAGCAGGTAAACACAGCAATAAATAAAATAAACAGTGATCACCAAGAACAAACGATGCTAAGTTCATGTGCATCTTTTACTCCAAAGACCACCGAGCTGTCTGCAACACAAATGTTTATGGAGAGAATACTGTTAAGAGAAAAAGAAAATGCCAAAAAATAGGGACTCTACATCCAGTAATGAGTCTTACCTCATCAGGGCTAGGAATAATATTTACACTGACAACCTGATCACAAATAATAGACTCTGAGTGTATTCTGTTCAGACGACTCCTTAGTTCAGCATTCTGGTTGAGTGCCTTAAAATAACAAAAACTGCAATTGTAATTGCAAATTAATAAGCAAGTATAAGACAGAACACGTATACAGATACAGCTTAGACAACAAAGTCTGAGATGCTCTTAGCTCTAACTTTTGGAATCATCATGAGCCAGATCCTATCAGTGAGAAGGAAATAAATGGCTCAGAGCTATGACATTAATTTTTTGTGGTGTAATACTACTACTTATGGAGGTTAGTGAGCTGAGTGTTCATGGACTTCATAAAAGTAGGGCATGGATTTCCTCTTCTTCAGAGTCAGGCCCATAATATCCAAAACCAGTCTACCACCACATATATATTACCTTTTGCAGTTTGAGATGAAACTATTGATTCCTTCATATTTTTTTATTCTACTTTCTAAAGTTTGGGAGTTATTTCAAAGTTAGGTAGTTATCTCAAAATATTTGGAATGAATTTAATGAACCGGTTTTAGTGTTCAGAACAATTCTTCTGTCTGATTAGAGAAAATGGTTGTGCATTTCTTTTTCAGGAGCCCATAATAATCCACACGGCAGTGCAGTGGAACTAATGAGGCAGATCAAAAGGTGCCTTTGCTGAACAATGTGGACATTGACGATCATAATAGAGAAGACAAAGTCAATTGCAAATCAACTCCAGGTTAGCTACATCACACTACTTTGAACATACCAGAAATTAGCATCAGTAAAACACCACTTTACACAGTTCAGTACATGTAGCAACTGCATTTATTACAAGAACAGAACAGCATTTCAGAACATGCCCCCTTACAAGACCCCTGTGCAGAAAGCACAGTGAACCTTCTGCTCATCACATTGATGCACGGGGTCCATTTCCGTGGCAGGATACAGCTCACTGAAATTATATCAAGTCTCAAAATGAATGCCTGTGTGAGGACAAGGCCCAGCAGAAAGAGAAGTGATTCCTTTCCTTCCTGTTAAAACTAGGAGTTAGAAGATGGAGGCGGGTATTTCAGAGTACACAGTAAATGTCAGGGCTTACTAAAGAGGGCACCTGTCCCAGCGAATTGGGGCATTCTGCTTCACTCAGAGTCAATGAATATGGTAAAGCAACGCATGTATAAATGTCTATCATAATCATAACTGTACCTATTCAACTACTGAAGAATAAGCACAAAAGAGCCAAATTCTACACTTGCACCAAATGCGGAGCAAGAGCTGATTCTTTCCCCTCACCTCTCCTGGTTCCTACTTCTTCTCTACCTTCAACTTCAGTTCTGGTTTTCAAGGACAGAATTACTTAGAGCTTTTGGCTTTATTGAAGGTCTTTAGAACTAGTTTGAAAAATATTTTAAATAACACATTTGATCTAGTATGACAAGTATTGATAAAGGAAAGGTACTGATCTAACAGCCAATATACTTGGAGACAATGTGCCCCGGTTATCTAGGAAACAATGGATACATTAGAAGAGTCGATTGTGTTAGCAAGCAAACCACGTGCCTCAAAGGAAGAATTCTAACATCTTGTCATCCCACAGCAGTGCTCATATTGTTTTCTATTGGAATAAAATCTCAAATGCTTAATAATTAAAAGAAAAATAGTACTTGAAGCTTATCTTTTGTGATCAGCAGTTATGCTTACTGCTCTTTCATTATTTCTCTGTAAGTATATACAAACCGAGTTAGTGAAAGTTGGGGGACCAAATCTAATTTGCCACATTTAAGTGGGAGGGCCATGGAAAAATGTCTGATGAACTGAATGGCAGACTCAGTCTTGTTCTTTGAAAATGTCCACACCTTCTGTTACCATTGGAACACTGTTAATGAAACAATCCCACAAAATCTCAAGAACAAACCTTCAGAGGGAATGTTAAACATATTTGCCATTTATAAGGGATGTTGTACAACTGCTTACTCTGGGTATTTAAAAATGTTAGGTTCTCATTTAAACTCCCTTGTCCAATCTTCATTAAATGTGTGAAGGGCACACAGGATAACCTCTAAAGCATTAATATCAATAGGAAATGAGCTAAAAGAATTTTTAAAAATTGATGATAAACAAAAGCAATCCTGGCCTAGGCATGAGAAGAGAGGTTTCCTTGATTTTAAGGCTAAATTGGTCTTGACTAAGACACTTAAGCCCTTCATGGGCCTGTATGCTTTCCCTCCTTTCTTTCCCTCCCTCCTTTCCATCTTTCCATTTACACTCTGCCTTTCCTCCCTCCATTCTCCATTTCTCTTTGAGACACTGTATCACTACATAGCCCATACTAACCTAGAATTTACAATTCTCCCATCTCAACCTCCTGAGAAACTGTCACAACTTCTGCCACTGTGTCCTGGGTATGGACTGCAATTTCTGTCTTTCTTTTTCTTTTTTGGACAGGTTCTCCCTAGTCCCAACCCACCTGGAAGTCCCTATGTGGACCAGGCTGGCTTCAATCTCACAAGGATCTCTACTTGCCTCTGCCTCCCAAGGGCTGGGTGCTTAGGCCTCAATTTCTTTAGGTACAAAATAAGGCAGTTGTTGTGAATAACTTTTAAAGTCCTTTTCAAATTTGAATACATACTGTCAGAATCTTGTACAGAGTTTCTTGGTTACCATTATGAACAACCATAACTCCAGGAGAGTATAAAAATTCTTTTGGGAGTTTTCTGATGTTTACATGATGGATAACAGTAGGTTTCTATACTTCCAAGGGATGATCCTAAATTAGGCTTTCTAACAGGAAATACTCATGGTATTTTTACATTATATGGAGTTTATTCTGACATTTACTAGGATTACCTGGAGAGAGATGTTTTTAATCTATGTCTTTAATTTTCTTAGTGTTCAAACCGTGTTTTTCTTCAACTGTGTGGCAAATGGGTAACATGGTAGTAAAAGAGAAATTTTGGTTAAAGTGTTTCTTATTGTGACGAAGAATAACAGAAGTTTAAATTCCTTTTTACATTTGAAGTTTTTCAAACTTCCAAAGTTAATTCTCTTTTTAAAAAAAATTATTTTTATTTTGTGTATATTACCTGAATGTATGTATGTGTACCTGTGTCATGCAATGATTGTGGAGGTCAGAAGAGGGTGTCAGATTCCCCTGGAACTGGAGTGATGGTTGTTAGCTGTCATGTGGGTGCTGGGAATCAAACCTGGGTCCTCTGTAAGCGCAGTTAGCACTCTTTTTCTTTAATTAAAAAATATTTTATTATTTTTATTTTATGTGTATGAGTGTATTGCCTGCATGTATGTGAGTACACCTGTGTAATGCAATGCCATGGAGGTCAGAAGAGGGCTTTGGATTCCTCTGGAACTGGAGTTAAGGATGGTTCATAGTCGTCATGTGGGTGCTGGGAATCAAACCCAGGTCCTCTGCAAGAGCAGTCATTGCCCTTAACCACTGAGCCATCTCTCCAGCCCTCAAAATAAAATTATTGCTAATACTTAAGACCAAAGATCTGTGATAATTTAGCTGGTGAAGAATTACAACTTGTTGGCATTGTGCCAAAGAAAACATACCTGGGTTCTACTTTTAAGTGTATGACGATACACTTTACTAATTCATATTTATTGTACTCATTTTCAAAGTGGTAACAAACCTAAATCTTATTTCTACAATTTCAACAGATGCTATCTATATGGAATTCAAAGCTAAATATTTAAAAGGAATGACTTCTTTAATAATATATATGCAGTGGTAGAAAAAAGGCTATAGTTACACAGCACGAAAAAGTGGAAATGAGTTCCTCCAACTGGCAAACTTGATATGGAAAGGGTAAGCAGACAACTGCCCATGCATCAGTCCATTTCTGCAATCTTCCCTGGGCTGGTACTTCATTTCACCTTAATCATCAAACTGCTTGTGAAGTTTATCGCAGCCAAGTGCATGAGCTTTGAGGACAGTGCTTCCCAGTAGTGTTTGCCTATGATATTATTGTAAGCTTGGGAATATTGAAGGATATAGGGATTGCACGGGCAATGATACTCTTAGTGCTAATTAACATGAAGGAGCCCAGAAGATGGCAGAAATAATTCAGGAAATATATTCAAGGAGAGGAAAGTGTTGTAAAGCAAGGAAAAAGGAGGTAGATTCCAGCCACTGGTGCAGCCATGGAGCAACAGAAGCTATGGATGCCTGCCATACTGCTCTGTGTCACACATACAGCAATACCCAACAGGGAGGAAGCGCTCTGAACTCAGCACTGGGCCATGTCTACAGTCTTTTCTAAGGAAGTTTACAGGAATTTTCACCCCTTACTAGTGAACTTGGACTGTATTAAAAACTCCACAGAGCATGTGCGTTCCTCATACATACCCATCTAACTCAACAAATGCAATTCCTTCTCTGTCTATAAAAGAAGTTATTATTTGAAGTTCTTAGCCAGAATTCCTACTTCTTCAGCTTTTAACCTTGGCAGACAATAGGTGGGAATTTTCCTCTGACTGGGTGAAAAACACTGGCTAAAACATTTTACAAATGAAATTGTGAGTCTAGGGAAGGAAACCCAGCTGCCTGAGCTAGAGAAAGATTTGAAACACTTGGCAAGACTTTTCACGCCATCAAACCCTTGGGATAAAAGTCAAGCTGTTTCAAAAGAAGAGAGAAAATTAATGCAAAAAGAATCAAAGCACAAATTCCAGGCATCTCTTAAATATCACTTTTTCAATTAAAAATATGTTACATTTGGAAAATGAATGAGCAGAAAATCTTTTTAAAAATTCACACTTTACTACCTGTTGCTAATAGCCGCCTTCTTAGCTTTTCTTCCTATGCACGTTATACTGGTTTATAGTACATGGTTTTCACCCTATATTTGTCCTTTATTCTTTGCACATAAACACATGCTAAAGTTCTTTATAAACATGATTTGATAGCTGCATAATGAGCAATGGTTCCTTATTATTGGGCACCTAGTGATTCCTGAGTTTTACTATAATAAATATGTTGTGATATCAGCAGGGACTGACAGGGACAATGAATGGGTAATAACTGAAATTTGCTAGAAAGCTAAAAAATTGTAAAGAGTTCTATGAAAAACATCTATGAAAAACCCAACAAATTTGCCTAAGTCTCAGGGAACTATGAAATTCAGAAACAAATAAATACACTTGGAATTTTTATCCCATTACAAAATATTTATTTGGGGGTATGAGAAATATTATTGACAGTAACGATGACAGATACCACAACCAAGACTTTAAATTATGCCACCATGTGCCTTGGGCTAGCCTTTTGCTTATATTCTCATTCACACCATATTTCAATGACTCTAAATGCACATTTCCCCCCATAGCAAGCACCTCTGAAGCACTCTGTCAGTTCAATTGACAGTAATGGTTTTTTATTACTTTCTTAGCAATGCACAACATAATGACATGCCTAATGATTGGTGGCATGTTGCTTCGGTGAAATACAGCAATTCTAGCTGGAGTAGATGGTCATTTGCTGCTGCTCACATTTATACAGATTCTATTTGCACTATATTCAGCACAAGCTGTGCACAAACTTTGAGGCCAGGAACCAAACCAGCAACAGTAGTGGAACAGACAGATGCACGCCAACCTTAATACGTTGCTGTTCTGGCAACTGGGAGTGCCAAAGCTGTCTTAGTTTTATTACATACAGTTTGATTTTGGTGTTCAGGGCACTATATGAAATGGGACATGAAATGACAACTGATGTCAAATAAGGTCATCCATAGGGGACAGATGCTATAGAAAATGTCCTGTGCTACAAGCTTAAATCTAACATCTATGCCTATTCAGGTGTGAAAGTTGTTTCACAAGGGTAAAATGACAGAATTATGTCGTGTTTGTGTTCATATAGATTAGGGAAGGAAGACCTTTAGAAGAGGAATTCATTTGACTCTCCAGACTTGCAAGTTGCTATTTGCTCTAGGCAAGTAACAATTTATACCAAGCACGTAGTGAAGAATGCCAATCTCATCTATTTTATATGCTATGTGCTTACTAAAAGGATGATGGAATTTGCTGTTTATATACTGAAAAGCCTCACTGAAAAGTAGCATTTTAATCATTAGATATATATCTAATGTCAGAGAAAACATGAGCTTTAAAAATGTTAGACTATTTAAGTTATTTAAGTACCATCTCTCTCTTTCCCTCCCTCTGTAGGGAAACGTTATCATGAGGAAGACATCTGGGGTTTAACTGATGATACTGTTACAGACCAAAGGTGTCTTTAGGCTACATAAAACTACATTATAATATGAAGTTATACTAATATAAGAATACACACAGGGCAAGGAGACCAACTGTTTCACCGTATTTAGTATTTGTTTAGGCTTAAGTGTTGTATCTAAGGAGGGACTGACTGTGCAAATAGAGCTGGCCAACCAGCATGGCTGCCTGAGCTGACTTTGTTACCTTTAGGATCTCCTCATCTTCTTGTTCCTTTTCCTGATGACATAAACATGCTGAGATGATGGTCATATTTCAGGGCCATCATCCAGTCCACATATTGTATGTTGCTAAATCAGATGTTGTTAGCCTTTTCCTTGTTGAGACTCTCAAAACTCTACTCTTGATCTCTACTTGCTCTTAGCCAAAAGGCTGTGAAGAGATCCACCCTTGATCTCAATTTCTTTTGCTAGTTGACCTGGATCTCCTCAAAGGATCTTTTTCTCAGCCTGTCCTTAAAGTAATCATGTTCTTTACAGTAGCACCAGCACCACTGGAACTCTTCTAATCTGTCTGCAAACAATTCATCAACATCTGCATCTTCCCAATACACTAGGGCTTTCCTATCTTTCTCTCTGCCTCCAAGCTGTGGATATCTATGTCCACCTACATGTGGCTATCCTACAGACTCATTTATCAAACTCTGACAAACCTGTTCCTCTTGTTTTCCTCTCTTGGGGGAAAGAACTCACATATCCAGTTATCAAAGCCAGGCTTGACTGCATTCCTGGCTCTTTTCTAAGGATCTCCAAGCCATGCAGATTCCCTTCCTCAACATCTCTAAAACCCATCCTTTCCTCTACCCACCATGGCATCGCTTCAGTTCAGGAATATTATCCCACATATCATAAGACATTTTTAAATTATCACAAATAATGAGTCTAACTAGCTGGTTTTGCCTTAATTCTATCCACTCTCCATGCTACTATACCTGATTAATCTGCCCAGCATACATAGAAAGGCCATAATGTTTTCAATTTATGACAGCTAAAATTCTTTAAGCCTTCCTCTTCACAGATAGTATAAATTTAACTCCTTTGTATCATCTCCGATGGGCAGCTAGCTGCTTGTGTGGTAACTTCTTCATTCACACATATTCTCAACACTCCAGTCCAGTGTTCAAAACAATGGAAGCAATTCACTAGAAAGGAGTAAACTGTCAGTAAACTTAATGCCTAAGCAAAGGCTATAGTGATTCCCCAAACAGAGTCCAACCTTGGCAGTGAAGAGAAAATGGCCAGTGAGCGTAAGGATGGGCACAAGAATGTAACGTACCCAAACACTCTGGTGACACAAAAGTGTAAGCACTGGATTCTCCAGTGCCTATGGTACCACAGTTTTGATAGTCCCAAATTATTTTCATATCTTTTGAGTCCTTTGGTTAGGACTCAAACAACAATACAATAATACAACCAAAAACCAAACAACCCAAGAAAAATCCAAGGCCCTGACTTAAGATGCAAAGAAATATGCTTTCAAAGAGAGGGAAATATTTAAACTCAAATGGTGTATGGCTGGCATACTTTTGCTTTATTTCAATCTCATCATGTTAGTATCAGGTCATTCTTTATCTCTTCAGACCTGTCTCCTGAGGAAATCTGATCTGTAGCTGTGATCTCAGCTCAGGGATCTCTTCTCAACAACCAGAACCCTAGAACTCTGTATCACCAAGCGCTTCTGTGAACGGTACAGTGTGGTCCATTTAGCTCTTTCCTAGATGAACTGCTCATCCTCCCAATCAGATCATGAATTTCCTGGGAAATAGCCGTATGGTATTCTTTATCTTGCATATGCTAGTATATAGTTAGTTGAATGAGTCCATGAAGCTGCCATTGCATTTTCTCATCTTAGTCATTTTTAGTCTCATCTGAAGCCCAATCTTAAATCTCCAGTCTATTTTTTTTAGACAAGGTCTCATGAATCCCAGGTTGGCCTCAAATTCACTGTGTAGCCAAGGATGACCTTGAACTTCAGATCCTCCTGCCTCCAAGTCCTGAGTGCCAGTATCATAACTGTGTGCCACTTTGCCCAGTTTTATGTGGTCCTGGGGGTGAAACTGAAGGATTTGTGCATGCGAGGCAGGCATTCTGTCAATTCAGCCATACCCCCAGCTCTCCAGCCCATTCTTTGTCTTACCAAGAAGCAGAGGTGAGCAAGCAGCAAGCGACACACAAATGTCCTTATTTTTCTTAGTACAACTTTGATTTATGTCATTAAGCTTCCATTATCCAACATTTTCTACAGAAGTACTGCAACATTTAGGAAGCCAGGCTGCATTTTATGTGTTTATAAGATGACAATTACATATTTCTTTACTATTTTGATCTCTCTGCTTTATGGTACATTCACGATAATGATTTGGAAGATCAATTAGCGTCAACCAAGCACTGAATGGAAGCATGACATGAGCAGATAGGTCCCGGGGAGAACCTTTGAAAGGTGCCTATGACAGGTGCTGCAGTTATGCTCATGCTCCTGAGACCCTGGCTTAGCATTGGAGGCAGCATATACACGTCAGCTGACAGTGTTTCATGGTGAATGATAGAACTGTGGGCTAGACAGCCGCACTTATAACATGAGACTTGATACTGAAAACACACTGACAGTTCAGGTACATAAAACACGGTGATTATAGTCTACACCTTGTTTTTAGGGACTGAAGGGAAACACTCAAGCACAATCTGATCCACATGGATGACCACTTACCCAGGATTTGCTGGCTCCTTCACTCTGATCCAAGGCATCAGGAAGTGAACAATATTTTATATAAACACTGAGTTCTCACACAAAATCATACAATAACATTGCTTTCTCAAAGGAATCAAAACAAGTGCATTTAAGGACTAACTGAAGAAAATGTTTATTACAGAGGAAGTCATCCTTGTAAAAAAGAAATGAGTGGTTTTCAAGGATTTGTGTCAGAAGCCTCAATTTTGAGGTACATGGGGGTTTGATTAGTATTAGTAATATCAAATGTGACATAGCCTAAAATATAAAAGTCTAGCTTCAGGGAGCAGAAGAGACAGGAAGGAAATACTGAGAACAAATTAGAAGAAAAATGGGTTCACAGCAATTAGTAACCTTCAACAGATTAAAATCTAAGTGGAAAAAATTATAGAACATGGAAAAACTAGTAGATTTTTGGTCTATTTACCATTGAATTGAATATATTCTGGAATATTCCTTAAACATGCAAATAATCTATAAATGCCTGTTTTGTTTTTGTAAACCAGGAGCTATCTGATAAATGATCACAGACATTAATTTAAAAGTTCAAACTAACAAGTATATATGTGTCTGCAATTTCTGTTGTCACACTTACCTTGACATTTTTTTGAGAAGAAAAACAATAAAATTCAATACTGACTCTGCAATGTCTTGGGAGAATTTCAGAGGAACACGCCACCCCCAGTCCTGCTGATCTCCACCCGCATCTTCTGCCTGGAGTCTTATGCCTGTCGTGCATATGAAAACACCCTGGTTTACCTGTGACAGTGACTGTCGGAGCCGGGCCATCTGTGTGCTGTGGCCTTTGTTGTGGTCCTGCTCAGAAACCATCTGCTTCAGCTTTTCTTTCTCTATAGCTATGCTGTTAAATGCAGACTTCAAAAGAGAATGCACTGAGTGGGGAGAGAAGTGAGAAAGAAACCTAAATGCATGTAGACTGAACATACGAGATGCCAACTTCCATGGATATTAACTACTGCTCAGACATCTTCCAGAAAGGCTAGGTTACAGTCTAATTAAAAATCAGCCTTACAAAAAAAAAGAAAGAAAGAAAAAATCAGTCTTACAGAGACTCTATCAGAATATTTGCACCCAAAACAAATATGGCAATTGTAATTAATTAAGATGAAAACTGTATTTCACACCAGACAAGCCAACAAAGATTTGGAAACACATACAAAATACCAACATCAATTCTAAACATCAATACTTAAAAATTAATTTATAAACTCTAGAAGGAAAAGAACCATGTTTTGCTTGTCATGTTTGATGATAATATTTTGAGCCATTCTGTATAAAGTGTCATGCAACTCAAGAGTTATTACAAATTTAATTCCACAGAGTGTATATCTTCAAAAAGAGCATTTTATGAGTCCTGCCAACATTACACAGGCAGCGGATCCTGAAGTTCTGACAGGTTCCTTGGCAGTAGGAAATTATTTTGCCCCAAGAACAACACATGCATTGCTGTCTCAGACAGGAATGTCTTAATGTCAAAGTGCTTTGACTTAAAAGCAACAGCTAAAACAATAACTCTCCCCTCATCTCCTAGGTACCTAACTTACATGGTAAAATCTGAGGCAGTCTTGCATTTGGAACTACAAAAGGTTGAATTTACAATTTCTGTTTTTATAATAACAGAGTTTCTATAGTTTGTGAAGTCTTCTAAAATAGACATTTCCTTATTTGAAAAAGGCTATTTTTAAAAGTGTTAAAATCCAGTATAAAACAGTGGTCTGAATTAAGGGGGAGGAGAGTAGAAGGGCCCTAAGGAATTCACAATCCATTTTGGAGAGCTGGCTGACAATTCTTTTTCTTTGACAGTGCTAGGATAGTACCTAGAGAAGGGGCATACAAGGTAAGTATGCTCCCACTGAGCTACATCCCCAGTCTTCCTATTTATTGATTTATATACTACAGTCCATCATCAACTGAAAGGCAATAGCTCGATAGCTGGACTGCATGAACTCTACTTGTGGCTTTAAAAGCAGACTCCTCATTCATTTCAACCTCATAAAGCCTTCCAAAGAGCTCACTCAGTGGTCATGGATCTGTCCGTTTCTGCTCTAGCACCTGGGTAAGAGAATTTGTATGACTGTTGAAAAGAAAACATACAGCTCCAACAGAGGCTTTAAAACACTGTTGAAACTTGGATTTCTTGAACACTTCAGGATTATAACTGAATACACAGAGCTTCCCTGGGGCTGCCAACAAATTCATCCTTTTTCTAAAAACAGCTGTGCTGTGCTCACCTGTGTTGTTGTACTCCACCTGCTGCCACCCCACCCCAGAAGGAAAAGTTCCTGGCTGTGAATTCAAGCTGTTATATGAACAATACTATTGTGCTAATAACATAATTAGCATCCATTTTTACAATGAAATGAAAAATGCCATTTATGAGTAAGTAGTAGACAGTTTCAACAGACAAATCTGTAGAAAAGAATGGTAAAATGTTTGCTTTAGGATTATGAAATTAAACTGGTATCTGATTGTGTCATAAATAGCTAATATGTAAAATCCACAGAGTATCCCAGTAACAAGAAAGTTAATTTAGAAGCCATGGATGGCTCTTATTAAATACCACAGCATATTTTTGCTGATGGTTTGAGATTATACAGTTTTGCTAAGTTCAACATTCCTGGAGATGTCCTCAATGCATACCCATTCTTCTAAGCAAATAGGCTCTTGAATATTAGAGGTGCCCATGAGATGTTCCATTTAACATACATTTTCAAGGATATTTTATGATTTATTACCAGAAGCCCCAAGAGAAATAAAGGGCTACTAGTTCACAATGAAGTATCAGTGGCAAAAACAACACAATGTGTATCACACTTAGGGTGTTTTGAAAGACACTGTTCAAGAAAGTGCTAGTTAGCCAGGCTTGGTTGTACATGCTTTTAATTCCAGCACTTGGGAGGCAGAGGCAGAGGATCTCTGTGAGATCAAGGCCAGCCTGGTCTATATAGTGAGTCCCAGGCAAGCTGGGGATACAAGGAGACCCTGTCTCAAAAAAAAAAAAGGAAGCTAAAAACCATAGAGCAAGTGCAGATCAGAGTCTACCCACACCCTTGTTTACCTGTTACACCTTACACTGTATAGTTGATGCTATCAATTTAACTCACAAAACAAGCCTTATAGAAAACTTAATATAAAAAAGGGACTCAAAGGTATGACTGATTTCCCATCCCCTTAAATCTGAATTGACTTGTGATGCTCTAGAAAGTATAATATGAGGTGTGTGACGCTACACCAGTTCCAAAACTGGCCTTGGAGATCAGCAGCTTCCCTTTCTGGTGTCTTGGAGCCTTAAGCTGTCACGGACAGTAACAGGGGTATGATTATGAGCAGCCTTCCAGCTGTGCTGCCGATGTGCCAGGCACATGAGTGAGCCCACTTTGGGTCTATGGGTTCAGCCTTCAGCTGAATTCCATTGAGTGAGCTGAGTTAGTGACATATGATGAAGAAGCTTAACTTTTAGCTGAGCACTGACCCAGCAACTGTTAAATACAGTAGTGAAAGTTGTTTAAAAAAGGGAAATACTCGAACAGAATTCATTCTTTTCTGGCTAAGATTAAGCAATCAATATGTATTATAAGAGAACTAAAAGACATTGGTAAAAGATGGTGAGGGGCAGGATCTTGCTGGGCTTCCTCTTTGTCTTTCCTTCCCTTCCCTTGCCAACAACATGTTTGTTATCCAGTGAAAACTGAAGGCTGCCATATATATTTTCCCAACAGGCAGGCACTGTGTTCTGCTGTATTTTGCACACATACAGAACTCCATCTAGCATATAGACCATTTCATCTTTGTGCCATCATTACCTAAAGACAAAAGAATAAATCCTCCATCGAATATCCCTCTCATTAAAAAAGCCATCTTGTTGAAAGGGCATGATTACTTGTTGTTACCTTTCTGTGCAATTAGACAGAATTCTTCTTGCAGCTTTGTATAATCTGTTGAACTTTCCAGGGGGTCAGTGAGGTGGCTAGGAGGAGTCTGAAACTCAATATCTGCACAAAGGTTTGGGTTGGAGGAATGTAGACGAACCGGTGACATGGTGGCGCTGAAAGGAACCTGAAAGGGGAAGACAGAAATGATTCAAGTGTCATCAGGCCCCGTTCCATCTTCTCTTGTATAGACAAGATCCTTCCTATCCTCTAAAATAAGACCCCTCTGATGATGTGCTGGGAGATACCCAGTCCTTGTTTTATTTGGTTGGTAGTAGGCTAGCTGGGAAGGAGGACTCTAGTTAGAATTGCCATGACTCACTGGGTTTTCATTCTTTATTTTTTGGTCTTTTTGAGACAGGGTCTCCCTGAAATTCCAGCTAGCCTGGAACTCACTATGTAGACCAAGCTGGGCTTGAACTCACAGAAATCCGCCAGCCTCTGCCTCCCGAGTGCTGGGATTAAAGGTGTATGCCACCACGCCCGACAGGTTTTCATTCTTACAAAGATTAATGTCTATGGAATAGAAAAGGTACAATCCCAGACAAACTTAAACCTGAACCCTCACATGTCCCCACAAAGACTACAGAAAACAGCCATCTGAAATGTGATGTAGTTGACTTTCTCTTTCACATCAGGAATGTAATTTATGTTCATTTCTCTTTGAGCCTGAAGCAGGGTCTTACTAAATATGTAAAAATGCATATAAAGACTCATTGTTCTATAGCTATTGGAGAAAATTTGCAAACTTAACAGTAAATACAATAGCTTAAAGAAACTCAGTTATTTTTAATAGATTTAGTAGAATATGTAAATCATTGTAGTTCACCTTTGCATGTCACACACAACTCTGTTATAGATATGAACATGATGTATGACTTCGCCAACAATGAAAATTCACCATACTGTAGAGTATTCCAAATGGCTCAAAGGTGTCTCCGCCAAGGCTGGCTCTGCACTAGGTTTGCAGATGGATGGAGGCAAAGCCCTTTATGTCCCCTGTCTGTCTACCTGAGAGTTGCAAATGCTATTGTCCAATCATTCTTGGGAAATGAAAATACTAATTCTTCTAGCAAGTCAGACAACCGGTAACTTTCCCCTTAATCTTAATGCATAGATATTGACTCAGCTGTCCTAAGCAACTATGCATGAAATTCCACCAAAGCTTAATTTTGTACAACTGTCTGTTAACTCTGTCTCCCCAACTAACAGGACACATGCCATAGAAGGAAGGAAGCAATACCTTGCCTGATATGTGTGCATATATGTGAAACACTTATTTATAAAGGTGTTGTGTATTTTAATTTAAATTCCACAGATTGGGTGAGAGAGAGAGTAGGAAAGGAGGGCTGTCTGTCTCTCTCTCTCTCCCCACTTCTGACCCCTGACAGATGAAGGTGGAGAGAAGTAAAAACATCTGGCCTATGGGGAAACTAAAGGGTAGCTAAGACTACCCTGAGGGCCCTACTGAATAGTTCTGTGCTGACAGGGAGTTATTTATCTCAAAAGATATTGAAGGCTTACTGGGGAAGGAAGAGAACATGAAACTCCCAATAAGTTCAGCTAAGCTAAGCATGTTAATATATATCCTCTGAGGCATTCAGTATCCAGAGGCATCAAAGTCACAGTATTTCATCCTGAGTAGGGACCTTGGAGACACTGTGCTAGGAGATGTCAATACCTGTCTGTCTTCTCATGCTCAAAACTTCTACCTGGCCCAGATTTGAAATAGACAAATGGCAAATAAATCATTTTAGAAAAGGAAGTGCTGGGTTCAGTTATTTTTTGCAATCCTGTCTATGGCACTACTTCTATGATAACAATGACAGGGGCCCTTTGAGTACACCTAAGAGACAAATGGGCTTTATGTGGAAGAACAATTGCAGATAGATAAAGGAACGTTAACTGTGGTGGTGCTCAGTCTAGAGTCTATATCCCTAGGGGACGGATACAGACTCTGTGGGAAGGCTAGGATAGATGTAGAGGTCATAGGGAGAGTCTGCAAGTTAAAGACAAGGGTAGACCTGGGAGTGCAGAGTCAAGGATATGGCTTCCAGATACATGGAACTAGAGCACCACGAAGAAAAATAAATGTGGGTGTTTGGTGTTGGGAGATGTAATGTGTTGAGAAACATGGGAAATGGTTTTGCATGTACTAAGGGGCCTTCAACACTCCAAGGATTCACCTAGCATGAAAGTCTCTTCTGAGTGAGTGGGAAGGGGGTCATGTTAGCTTAGGGAGGCATTGCAAAAGCCTATTGTGAGAACCCAGAGTCCAAGAAGGAACCACATTTGTCCCTGAGAAAAAGGCTTCGCTATTAAATGTTGCAATCAGATGTCAAGAAGAAATATATAAGATACAAATTTAAAATTTGAACATAATGGAAGTTTAAAATTGGCTACTAATATACTGAAAGTGGCTTTTCATATGACCCATGGGGAAAGGAACTTGCAGTACTCCATTCTAACTGCAATCAGACAGCTCCCTGGGAAGCTGAAAACAATTTTTACATACTTCTGACTGAAAAAAAAAATCAGTATATATTTTTTTGTTAAAAGAAATGTGCGGAATGGATCATTTAAATTGAGGAATTCACAAAATACATAATATAAATTAGAATGCAGTAATCTAACTAATTCAGCCTGGGGACTCACTCAGTTTTCATTCATTCATTGGCTTAGATATTATTAGACATAAAACTTTAAGTGGTAGCTCGCTTCTGTCAGTAGCGATGGCATGGGAGCTGCCAACCTTCAGTGCTGAATTTGGGCCTTTCTCCTTTGCTCAGGAAAGAAACTCAAGGGTTCCTAGAAGTCTGACAATAGGGAGGAAGCCTGATTCTGGAACATGCTGGTACCACTAACTGCGGTATAGAGTGGGGATGATAGGGGATGCCTTTAATACTCATCTACAAAGAAGTCAAAAGAGTAATGAATTGTGAAAACTTCTGGCCCTGAAAGGTAGCAGTGGTGACCAGGAAAGAAAGCACACAGTAGGTCCAAGAAGGATACTAAACTTACAGGACCTACTGAGCCAGGGTGAAAGGTTCCTTGTTCATATTCTGCAGTTTATGTTCAAGGATGCATTTGGGGGTGCTCATTGCTTGGGGAACCTTGGTGTTCGCCCACAGGGAGGGGTCAGTGCTTCTCTGTTTCCAGTCTGCTCTCTGTGGACTCTGGATGATGGTGAAGGTAGCCTATTTGGAGTGCCAATGTTAAGACCCAACAAGAATAAATTTTGTGAACTTCTCCTTAGGTACACTTTTCTTTGGTGCAATGTCATTCACCCAAGACACCCAACTGGGAGAGGAAAAAAACTGACCAGGATAGGACAGCCTAAAGTGTATGTGGTAACTTCAGTGTTGGGAAGAGGAAGGGCTGGGAATTAAGAAGAAATACTACACTAAAATAAATAGGGAGGCTGAGTCAGGCCACTGGGATGGAGAAGGGTAGGGAAGAGTCAGCTGTGGGTCCCGCTCAATGCTGCTGTGATGTAGAGTAACAGCTATAGACCTAGAGGGTGGACAGGAGCCATGCCCCTATAGTAACTCCTGAAAACATTACTAAATGTTGAAAGTTTTTCTCATTAGAATCATCTAAGTTATAATTTCTATGTCACAGCTATGTTGGGATGTGGGCATTAATGCTTCCTGTTTGAAGAAACTTTTTTTTTCTGACTCCAGTTTAAAAAATATAAGCCTACTCTATTTAAATAGGTGCTAATCCTTATTTTGTTATTTTCACTGTATGCATCTACAGCACTACCCTACATGTTATTTTAGAAGTATGCTATTTGAGGATGTATTAACATTTTCATAAAATAACTAAACTTTTCTTTCCAGACTTTGATTTTGTCCCTTCTTTAAGAATCATTTGGATTTTAATTTTTATTAAAAAGATTTATTTAATTTATGTGTATATGTGTGTGCCTGAGTGTATGTATGTGCATGTAGGCAGTTGTGAGCCACAATGTGGGTGATGGGAACTGATCCTAGGTCCTTTGAAAGAGTGATCTTAACCACCGACACATTTCCCCAGTCCAGTACTTAACTGATTATACAGGTTACCTACAGTCAGAATCTGTTATCACATCACTGTCAGGGACTTCATTCATTTGAATTTGAATACATCCGTTGTACAATGAAAGCAATTTCAGTAATGACTTGGCTCAAATGTTTATAAAGCTATGAATTCGAGAGTCAATTCCCTAATAAATTCCAAGCCACTGGTTGTTTCAATAATCAGATGTAATTCTATCCCTGGGTCTAGCTAAGCACTTACATATAAATCCAGAACTGACTACTCATCATGAGGGGAAAACCAATACCCTCTACACCAGTACTCCTCTACAGCACAACCAAAACCTTTTCATAGTGTTATTATTAGCAATTCTAGTCTTGAAATATGTCCAGTTTTAGCAAGAATAAGACTGTTATTCAGAAAATATGTAATAGATAAAAACTAACACCTATGATTTTTATGAGCTCAGGAATCTATATTTTAAAAAGTTCACAAGACCTTAGGATTAATTAGTATTGACTGACTTTCATCCTGCAAAGGGTTTCTGTGCTCAGACGTTCTAGTTCATATTCTGTGTGGATAGTCACTATTCTTTGCCTTTTCCACTCCAGTGTGTCTGCTGCACCTCATATCCATTCTGTAAATTCTTGGCCGGGGGCAGGTCGGTCTACAGTTTCTGACTTTTGTATGACTATTTCCAGAAAGCAATTTCCCTTGCTAGGTGTAATTTGGGTACCCATGCAGAGATGACGTCAAAGTTTTCTTACTCTTTCATTTCTCTCTCGCACATCCTTTTCAAATAATCACATTGATACAAAAAAAGCACAATTTATGTCTGCAGTAACATGACATTTTTAGACAAACAAAAATCAGCAAAGATTTCAGTATCAGTATGGAGAACAAAAAGCATTTGCGAACATTCTCCCATCTCGGGGCCCTATACTCAGTTACTCAAACTCTGTCAAACTTGAGTTTCAACAATTTCTTCTTTTTCTTTTCTTTTTTATTTCTTTTTTTGGGGGTCTTTTTTGAGACAGGGTTTCCCTGTAGCCCCAGCTGGCCTGGAACTCACAGAGATCTGCCTGCCTCTGCCTTAAGTGCTAGGGTTAAAGGTATGTACCACCAAGCTCGGCTTCAATCATTTCTTACAATGACCGGAGAAGAAATTGGATTACATACTAGCTCTCCATTGCAAAACCCCAAACCCCAAACCCATGCTCAATTCCTGCCATGCAAGGATAGCCAGAGAACATGTGAAAGCTATGCCGACCGCACGGGCCACAGGTGAGTCCTCACACAGGAGGGGCACCATCAGATAGAAGTCACCCATGTACACATTCTTCATTCTTATCAAACTTCCACTTGAGACTGAAATCCACTCACTGTTGTAGCCACTGCAGCTGCTAGCCTCTGCCGGCGTCGAGTTGTGTTGAACTGGCCCTTCACAGGTGGCCCTTCCTGACAGTGAATGGGAGAAGAAAAGGGGGGTAAAAAACGGGATGGGAATGGAGAGAACAGGGTTCAGGGAGATGAAACATAATCAGAAAAAGGAGAAGGAACATTTTTAACTGAGATTGACTTTAAAAAAAATCTTAACACTGAAACAGTTCAATGGACATTCATGCCACAGAAATGCTCATCACTCTAGATCACTGCAGATCACTCGATCACTGCAGGTCCACTTGCTGAATATAGTATCTAACCCAAAAGGAGAGGCAGAACTGTAAATTAACAAATAGCTTGTGATTCTAAGGTAAAACAAATATGCACACCACTTTTTAAAAAAATGTGATGATATATTGTATGAAATCAAAAGGTAACCAATACATGGTAGCAAAGACAACAGGTAACTTCAGGGAAACTGGTTATATAATATGTGAAAGAGAAAAGAATAAGGGAAAACGTACCAGGATTCTTTAATTTCGAACTCAACTTTATGAGCCTTATGGCAGGGACTCAACATTAGGAAGAGTGTTGGCATCTTCCAGTTAAAGAGTTTCCTAGTGAGAAAGCCAGTTCTAGGTTGGGGGAAAAAAGCCTTCAAGCACCTCAGTGTGTACGGACGATTCTTAGAGCCTCCAGCCATGAAAAACAGGCTTCATTTGGTGGCATGTGCCTATGCACAGACCGGAAGAACACTGGGGCTTTCTTCCATTTTCCCTCCTTTTGGTAGATGGGCTCAAGGGGTAATGATGACATTTTCTTCTTATCAGTCAACTCCACCTAAATGTGGCAGATGCTGAGTCTTCAAGGTTGGGAACAGTAATTTCACTTTCAATTAAAGTGAATTTTCTTAGAATCATCTAACAATTCACATTGGAAAAAAATCAAGATTGCTTTCATTTGTTTGGAAGAACAAACCTTTGGAACTCTTCATCTCTGATTCTCTTTAAAATTTCCTAATTACGTTCATATTTTACTTCACAAATCTTTTGCATATCTTTATGTATGTCATATATACATACATAATCTATTTTCCACAAAGTTTTCTGCATGAATCTCTTTCCATTTGGTGTAGTAAAAGAAGAGTTTATCTCTATATTGCACTATAATTTCAGGATGTAGGATATCTAGGACAGCTCCCAGTGAATGACAGTTTTATCTGCTACTATGTACTTGTTTCTACTATAACTCATCTCCCAATATCCAAGAACCGATTATTTAATTTATGCCATTAATAACAGGAGAGCTCCAATAGCTCTTTCTATAGCACCTCTGAAACCACTGTTCTCTTGGCTTCTTCTACATCACTGACACAGAGCCAAGCTATTACTGCATAATGGTATTGAGATTTTTATTAGAACCAGAAAATCTGAAGTTTGGAACATCAGGATGACAATTTTTTAAACGATAATCCCCACAGAACCTTCTAGACAAATGTTGATTTCATGAGTTACACAACAGATTTCTGAGGGCAACCATTCAATGGCATGGAGTACAAATACAGTCATGTTTGAGTAAAGCACACAGTCTACCCTATGCAAGAATAAGCAGTCAAATACCCAGCGTAAACATATCCTGAATTTTCAGCTTCCTGAGCTCAATTTTTTAAAAAAATGATCTATTTCATAATTATTTCAAGATGACAACTACCTCCAAATGCTGAGTGTGAAGTTCAGTGACACAGTAACAAAATCAGTAACTATCACCATCACTACCACGCAGTCTGGCTTTTTTCACAAATGGCTGATAGTCAGCAACAGAAAATGAGCTGACCTAAGCCTCTCAAGCTGGCTCCAACAGTGGTCATCACAGCATGTGAGAGGATAATGAACTAGGAATACTTGGCATCATTCAATGGAATTCCCATAGTCTAAAAGCTTTTAAAATGGGAAGGAAAAGCAGTGCTAGGATGGGGAGAGAGTAGTAGTAGGTATCTTTAATCTTCTATGGTAGAAACAAATGCTACACCTTTCTGTAGGTAAAATACTGCTGAGGAAGATGTCCATGCCGGATACAGACATCGCTGCATGAACTCATTTATCCCCAACAGGCACACATGTTGAAGGAGCTTGAGTACGGTTCTAGTTACAGAGAAAGAGCATCCTGAGGGCTCTTGGAAGATGTATTGTCTTAGGCAAGTGGCAAAGGTCCAAGGACGATGCCAGGTTGTGCAGCGCTGCAGCTGATAATACACATTTTGTACAAGTCCAAGTGGAAATGGATTCTCTCTGGAGTTATTAACAGCTTATTGTTACCCAAAGTCTATGTGTTTCTACTAAAAGCTGGAACTACATGTCTCCCTCTTAAAATAGCAAAGTAAGCACAGAGATGCGGTGATTTCAGTTTCCCTCCGTCCAATCTAACTATGAACCACAAGGGCCATTTTTGTTACTCTTTAGCAAAACAAAAATGAGGCAAAACAGCATCCGTGAAAAATTCAAAACAAACCTTTCAAAGATTCTCCTGCTTTTTGAAAAAATTTCTTCTGATGACTCAGAAAATCTTCTAAACTTCTCTAAACATTTAAAAGCACAGTCTGTGACAGGGAAGTGTATTCATAGCTGCATCCTGTTTCCTCCAGAAAAAATGGAGCCAGTGGGTTTGTGGCGGCCTTTCTAGCTGCGCTGACTGCCAGGGGCACTGCACTCAGACTTACTGAGAACCAGGCTACTGAAAATAACAGCTGAATGGGGAGTGTTCAGTAGCAGACTGAAACACTATCACAAATGGGTATGTTTCTAGGATGCTAGCTTTCTTCAATCCTTTCATTGAAAGGAATGGTTCTTTTGTTCATAAAAATGATTTTATTATCTTAGCCACGTATGAATGAACAAACAAATAAACAAACAAACACAAGACTAGACATTCATAACAAACTCAAAATTAAATGAGACTGCCAAAGGCAATTTTAGGTAATTTTCTTGGGAATCATTTGGCACATTTTCCCTGCAGTACTAATTTTATGAATAGAAGGGAAAACACATAAAAACATATTCAACAAAGGAACAGACAAAAAATTTATTATGAAATATATCAGATTAGGAAGCAAAGTATCAGTTTATTATTCACACATTCAGAATTACAACACAGAAGATATTATTAAAGCTGTAGGAATTACAGAACAAATACTTCTGTTAAGTTTTTAGAAGAAACTGAAGAACTCTGAAGAGTAGTTTCTTTTACCTTGTGTTAGGATCTAAATTGGCAAAGTACAATTTTTAAAAAGCTGCATTTTAAATTTAACTTTAACTGTGCAGGTAAACAATCATCTATAATATGTAGCTAATATAAGAACAATAGAGATTTTAGTTAAGATTTGAAAGTAATATGATTTATGACATAAGAGGTTTTAGGCATTTACCATATTTTGTATCATTGAAATACAATAACATAAGAAGATCTTATTTAAAAAATTTGATTTGTTTCAATTAAATTTCTTATTTCAAGTAAATTTATGATGAGCCATAGTTTAGATTTTAAAGTGATTGTTATAGGCCAAATACTATCTCTATTTGTAGAGTCACAGAATTTTAGAGTTGAAACAGAATTCAGTGATCATTAAATTAACTCCATCATTTTGCCCAGGAGCAAATGAAGCTCAGAAAATTTAACAGAAATGGCCAGAGAATCACAGTGATCACACTAAAATGTTTGTTGATTTTTCATCTATAGTACCTTCTACAATTCCTAGATAGATAAAACTTTGGACAAAGTTCACCTACAAAAGAGGCTTTTAACATCTAGAATATCTAAATGAATGTCCATTACAGTCCACTGGATTTTCAGTCTAGATTTTAAAGAAACTTTCTGCTTAAGTTTGAATGTTTTAAAGGCTATGACTACTGACTCCTGTGTACACTTATTATATCAACTTAACCATTCTCTCAAATTCTTTGCACCTATATTCAATCAACTAAAATAAGTAAGATTTTTCTCATTATTTCAGATACTATAACTCTGCTCGAAAAGCACTAGCTTTAAAGTAGCTAAGCTATCCCTTCAAGCTCACACCGATGGATCTGTAACTGATACATAAGATGATACTTTAAAGGTAAATGGAAACACAAAGGAAAGAAAAGTCAAAGCTGTACCTGCAGTTGTATTTTTGTATCTTTGCTGACACTTTTTGTTCTCCAGCGTCTTGTGACCCGCTTGTCTTTCTTTGAAATATCTACACAGTTAGCCTACATTACACAAATAGTTAAAAGCAACAAAGGATTATTAAGTTCACGCAGATGATACACATACAAAGTACACAGCAAGTTAGTAAAGAATTGTTGTTAGAACCTCAAAGCAAACCACTCAGGACAGAAAGACATTATATTAAAAGCAAAGAAGTATATAACGTAATGGTGAAAGTTATTTTTCTGATATGCAAAATGAAAGCAACATTAGAGATCATGAACATCTTTTCTACATTAAAAGATGGTCATAATTCTGAAAGTGTTAGAACTTTTAACTTCAAAACTATCATTTCTAATGCAAAAGAAACATGAGAGAATAACTCATATGTATTGCTACACTAGTGTGTACTCTATTTAAAATTCATCTTAACACAACGATACTAAGCTTCAAAAGAATTAAGAATAACTCTATCATATAAACTATATATTTGCATTATTACAGATATTGTAATATATGTCTGATTACAGCCTTTCTCCTTTTGAGTCTTGTATATTCATAGAACAATCCAGTGAAGACTATGTATCTTAAGTCTTGATACCAGCAACAGTTATGTTTACCTGCATGTCAGTAAAGTTAGGTGCTGACTGAGTTCTCTGGAGTATCTCCAAATTTTGCAGGAGTTTGCTAAGTTCCACAAGGTTTGACTGACAATGTGCAAGATCTAATAAAGATCAGAAACAAAAATATTAGAATTGGCTAGAGATGGTGGTAATGGTAATAAAGGAAACTCAGTCCACACTGCGGTAAATATGACTGGGCAGACCCGTGTTTACGGGACGGCGATACGGGAGAAATGAAGAACATCCCTCTCTCGATCAGAACCACAGAGTCACCGGTGGTTAGATGATTTTAAAGTCTGTTCTCACCAGCTGTGACTTAATGTAGACACCTCTGACATCTCAAGTATGTGTGTTCACTTTTCTGTGCTGATGGCTTTGTCACATGGACAGTCAGGGGAACTTCCTGTGGTTTTATTCTTAGGGGCCTGGCTACTTGCTCGCTAAAATGATTTACAAGGTGGTTGCCTCAAAATTTGGGTGGAGCCACAGTCAAGTTCAGAAAAACGACATAAAAATCAATTAAACATATCTGTTATTCACTCTAATAATAATGTGGCAATGAGTCTATTGCAGACTTTTACTAAATTAAATTTTATCTCTATGGAAAAAAATATGCTCTAAGAGCCAAACAATTTCCCTATATATTTAAGGTCTGAACTTGTACAAAAGGGCCAGCTACTTTAACTATTAGAACTATAAATCAGACATGTAATGGGTTTCATAAAATGTTATGTTTTTTAAATGCAACCAATAAAATAAATATAAAATATTTACTCTTTTTCTAAAAAATATTTTATTTACTATTTTAATTTTATGTGTATGAATGTATTGCCTGCACATATGTAAGTGCACCCGTGTTGTGCAATGCCAGTGAGGCTCAGAAGAGGGCATCGGATCCCTTGGAACTGGAGCCACAGATGGCTATTAGCCATTATGTGGGTGCTGGGAGTTGAACCAGATCCTCTGCAGGAGTGGCCAGTGCTCTCAACCGCTGAGTCATCTCTTCAGTCCGTAAATATTCTTACTCTTAAACTACAACCAATCTCAGTGGTAGGCAAACTAGGACAAACGATCAGTATAGATTGTTTTGTAGGAGATTAGAAAAAGGAGAGTTTCCAGATTGAGGCAGATTTACAAGATTGAGGGCAGAGTTACAAAAAAGTAGATCTTTTTTCCCCTGGGTCTGGAAGATTGACAGGAAGGTCTTGGCCAAACAGGAAGGTGGGGAATAGCAGAGAGGACACCAGCTTGGGAAGGGCAACCTGCTCAGAGGCACTCAGCCAAGAAAATGGAGATATGTTCAGGAACCAGCAGTTTGGTCGAGTCTACCAAAGACAAGGGTGAAAGGATATGGAGGGCCAGATCCACCCTGGCTGCAGAATGTTGGGCTAAGCAGGCTAGATTGACACCTGGTGCCAATAAGAAGACATGAAGAGGGTTTGCATAAGAGCTATTTTAAGAACTAACAGTCTTGAGGAAGCATTATATAGTGAATTTGCTTTGGATTAGTCAAATGAGGTTGGCAGGAATCCCAACCTCTCCATCAGGGTGGCTCTACAATTTTGGACAAATTCCTGAACCTTAACGTGTTTCATTTTCCCTCATCCAGTAGGCTAAACACAATACCTTATGATTGAATACAACAGAATAATGCCTGCTAAGTACTGGCCCAGGTACTAGGCTGGAGAGGTAATATCCCATGAGCCTCTGAGAGGGATGAAGTAGCAGAGTCAGGGACTGAAGTGGCAAAGCTGTGTGGCCAGAGACAAGAACGGTGGGTCTGGGTTGGCAAGATAGGGATGGAACACAGGGAAAGGTAGGGAAGGAGGTGGGTGGGAGAGGGTGGGAAGGGGGGGCTAAGGAGTGGTCAAATAAATGACAGGATTGGAACTGGTTGTGTGAACACTGAGGAGAGTCAAAAGGTGAGCAGCACTGACATACGAGGAGTCCTCTTATAGCAATCCTCAGGGGAGACATGGGGGTTGGCCAACACCAGGCTCAGACACTTGCTCTGCAGTGAGAATGTCTGTGTTTGAATCTTGGCTCCCTTTACTAGCTGTAGGGGAGTTCCTGTCCCTAACCTTCCCATAGTGTTACAGTAGCAAAAACCCCCTTAAAATTGGTCAAGACAATAACAATTTTTGGCCTGGATGGAAGGTGAATATTCCAGTTTTTTGAGGTCACCTGGTCACAGGACCACCCCCAGGAAGGCAGGTTCAACTTAAGTTGTGCTAAATAGATGGGTGGACTACCTAGTGCATTAATGAGGTGATGAACTTCTCCTGCCTGGCATCCCCACCTCCTAGCATCCCCACCTCCTAATGCAGTGCTTCTAACTAGGTTATAGGTATGTACTTTCCGTAAGTCTGTGTGCTTTTCTGAATTCTTCAGAAGTGTAAGCTCTCCTTTTCTTCATCTCTCTTTTGTAACTATGCTTTTCCTAATGCTTTGAGCCGCCCCATCATTTGGGGTTTCTTACTTTTTTTCTCTAAAGCTCCCTTCCCCTTCCCACCATGTACTAGATAGAGTCCTTGTGGCTGACAGTCTATCACATGTCTGACTTCCATACAGGCTCTAAACCAGAATGGCTTTATGTTTTTTTCCTTCTCCCCTCCATTCTCCTCCTCAAGGCAGCTGCTAAGATTCACAGCATACCTGCCCTGAGGATTTTCCCCCTAAATTCTAATAAAATTGTCCTAAGCTTCCATTTGAATCCTTTCTTAAATTCTCTGATGAATAAGACTAAGAACCCTTAAAGGGGTGGGGGCCCTTTTTTCCTGTATCAATAGGAAAGGCTGATATAGAATGACTTCTGCAATGGAGTTGTCTGAAAGTGAGATCTGCCTTCTTTCCCCCAAAACAAAAGTTACTCTACAGTCTGTGCAGTGAAGACATCCAAAGAAAACCTTTTAATGGGATGTCACTGGTCATGACTACGAATATAAAATCCCTTTTAAATCACAGTTTCACATGTGGATTAAGTTTGGGAGGTTGGTGTCTCAGAGGGCTGAAAAAATTGCAGATTTTGAGTTAACACACTGAAAAAATGGTGGAGGTGTTGGGAGGACTAACACAGATGCTAAATTTTAATTTTTTCTAAATAAAAACAGCAAAAGTTATCTAACATCTCCTTTTAATATAATTTCATAAAAGAACAAAAATTAATCCTTACAGTGTCTCAAGCTCATCTAAAAAATCAATTGAGTCTTATCAAAGATTCTCTTCGCTGCCTTTGTTTTTCTGTTTTGAAGATCAAATGAAAACTGTCTCAGAGTGGAAATGGCCTGCAGATCAAGTTTGGGTCAGTTGGAGAAAGGAAAAGATTAAGTAGCTCAGAGACAGAACAGTGAGGGAATTGTGGGTTAGTCAGGAAATTTAAAAGCTGACTGAGAGTGAAACATCACTGGAAGTTTGCTGTACATCGCTGTGTTAAGGAATATACTTGTTCCATGGGCAACACAGGAGCAGACTCTGTGGGAAGAACCTCGAGAGGACCATAGCACAGAGGGTCCAGGTGTGGGAGCAGAGGGCGCTTCAGGGCCCAAGGGCCAGGTAAAGGTGGCCAGAAGGAACTGGTAAAGAGTTGAGAGAAGGGTGAAGAGGGTGGAAGCCAGGTAAGGGAGAAACTCAGATATACTTGTGAGGGCCAAGACAATTGACAGGTTAAACAGCCCGGGTTATGGAACAGAGAAGGATCTAGAAAAATATAAAACAGAAAGGAAAGGCCAGGGTAATCAGGCCGTTAGGTGGAAACTGTAGCACTAAAATTCAGACCAGCTTTTTGTTTGGGGCTTACTGTGACAGCCCCAGGAACAGGAACTAACCTTCTGCACACCTGTCCATTTCTTCAGAGTCCTGCAGCCAGGCTGCCACTTTACTCTGGCCAGTTGTGCAGGTTGCGGGGAGGCTATTGCTGCATGGTAGAGGGGACTGCCATGGAAAGCTGTTGGGCTGCATCTGTGACAAGCAAAGAGAGGAAGCAAGATCTGTATAGAGCAGGAACACTAACTTAAATATTACTAGAAAATATAAGTGTTCTGATCATGACATTAAAAAGAGAAAGGAAGGGCACATTCAAAAAGAGAAGAGTCCCCTTCCCATGAGCTGGAGCTGTGATCCCCTCCTGTGAGCTGGAGTGATGGTCCTGTCCCATGAGCTGGAGCTGTGGTCTCCTCACATGAGCCTGGAGCTTTGATCCCTTACAGGGAGTCACAGTTCCACATTCCTCTGGTGGTAGGCTGATGGTCGCCCAGAGTGGAGGATGGGGGATTTCCTGATGCTGAGTAGCAGTTTCATTCTTCTTTGAGTAGCTTGTATTCCCTCTAGCCTCCTCCCCTAAGGTCCAGGTTGTGCGTGGCAGTGGCTTTGCCTCTTATGCTGGGGATGGAGGAGGTCTCTGTCATTTGCAGATTACAGTCTTGGGAGGACTGATTCTCTAGAAAGACTGGACCTCCTACCTCCCCTGAGGGCTGGCTTATTTTTTTCCTAAATATTTTATTATTTTTATTTTATGTATGTGAGTGTATTGCCTGCATGTAGGTAAGTGCACCCATGTCATGCAATACCCACAGAGGACAGAAGAGGCCACTGGATCCCCTGGAACTGGAGTTACAGACAGTTGTTAGCTGTCATGTGAATGCTGGGATTCGAACCCAGGTCGTCTGCAAGAACAACCAGTGTTCTTAACTGCTATCTCTCTGGGATGGCTTATTTTTTCTATTATTCTTCTACAGCCCCAGTATGCCTTCACCTATGCCTTACAAACACCTAACTGAACTTCCAGAAATAAAAATCATAGTCTGGCTGGGAGTGATGGCACATGCCTTTAATCCCAGCACTCAGGAGGCAGAGGCAGGGGGATCTCTGTGAGTTCAAGGCCAGCCTGGTCTACATAGTAAGTTCCAGGCCAGCTGGGAAGTTAAAAAAAAAAAAAAAAGAAACAGAAAGTACTATGATACCTAAATGAACACAATCCTCAAATTAAAAATATGTAATTGTGGGGCTGGAGAGATGGCTCAGCAGTTAAGAACACTGACTGTTCTTGCAGAAGACCCAGGTTTGAATCCCAGCACCCACATGGCAGCTAACAACTGTCTGTAACTCCAGTTCCAGGGGATCTGAGTCTCTTCTGTTCTTCGTGGGCACTGCACAACATGGGTGCACTTACCTACATGCAGGCAATATGTGCATACACATAAAAAATAATAAAATATTTTTTAAAATATGTAATTGTATTTTAGAATGTAAATTTGCAATTTTACATCTACTATAATTTTTAAATATTATTTACTGACACTACCGAGCCTCAAAAATAATGTGAAATTTGTCACTGTTGTCATCATGTGAGTCTGCTATTCATTCCCTTTCCAAATTATTGAACCTATATAAAGATTTTCAACGTAATCATGTTATTTCTTAAAGAAAGCAATGCTAATAAAATATTCAACAACAAAAAAAGAAAGAACAAGTCTTGCCTAAATGGTAAGAGCTCAGTGAAGGCCAAATTCATGTCATTAAGGTGCTGCCTCCATCCTCCAACACAGAGGACAGTGTTCAAGTACACTGTGGTCCCAGTCACTTCAAATTACCCAGAAGGTTGTATTTGGTACAGAGTCCTTATTCTAATCCTTTTAACTCATGCTTAAAGGGCTTTCCTTCCTGAAAGCTGTCTGTGCCTTGATGATTAGGTCAAGGTCCTGTCAAACAAGTGTAATTCCTAAATACAGTATCCATGAGCAAGCAGCCTTAGAATACTCTGAATGCATTCTGCGAATTATACAATAGGTAGTCTTGCCAAGTTATCTATAGCTGATAGATTTTCCATTAAAAGAATTTTATGTGAAATAAAATTGTACAAACTATGTATATATTAGGGTGTGTGGTAAATGGAAACAACAGAAACTTACTTCCTAAGAACTGTGATGTCTTTAAAAGTCCACATTTGATTCTAATATTCAGTTATAACTGACTGTGCCTCTTGTAAATTATTAAGAAGTGAACAATGCACATACTTAGCAAACAGACTTATTTATTACCCACAGAGGGCCACAAACCAATTAACGTTCAGGAGTCTCCTAATTTGATATGTGGAAAGTAAGCAAAGTGATAAAAGGTGCTTTTCAGTATTTTGATAAATGTAATGGATATCTTTCAGTGAGTTGGATCCCTAAGCTTTGCCATTTGCAATTGGAGAAACAGTCCTTGTGAGGAAACTAGAGTTGAAGAGCTTCCTTATATGAGCACAAACAGTGGGGGAAGGTCTGGGTTTCAGTCCATCAGTCTCAGATATCACCCAAGTTATTTAATAAATAAGATGAGGGACAGAAACAATGCATCTTTTATCAACACTTTGTACCAGAGACACAGGCGGAGGCTGGAAGAACCAAGAATTAAATATTTATGCTTTCTCTTTAAAGATCTATTTGGGATACAGTCCTCATTTAATTTGAACTAATACCAGGATTTATTCTTCCCTGTGATGAAAACCCAGGAGGCCCAGAGAAACATGGGGACTTTTCAGGGTGAGGGGGTGCATCTACAAGATCCCAAACATACTAGCCCTCTGGCCTTCTGTTCTGTTCTCTTTTATTTCAGAACTGAATACTTTATTCTTAGGAGGAAGGTAATTAAATCATTCTTAGTAAGGCTGCAACCACAATAAAACAGACAGGACAGCCTTGTGAAATATACTTAATGGAGTTTAACTTAATTACTAAATATTGTCTAGTGAAATAACAAAAGCATAGTTACATTCCACTGAATTGGATTTGGTTACATTTGCTGTTTCTCAGTGAGGGTTCCCAACTCTGGGCAGAGAAACCTTGGATCTAGGTGTTACACACACTCCTGTGCAAGCAGGGATGGCATCACCACTGAAATGTTTTGTATCCAATCCTTGTGTCTCCAACCTCAATGTCACGTACCAAGCATGAAGCTGGACACCTTGGGCAGTACAACATGACCGTTTCAGGAAATGTAGTTATTGAATCAAAGCCAGAAATAGCTGCCTGCCTCCTTGCCTGTTGTCTTAACCTTGACTTTCAAGCAGACCAACCTCTAGCTTTTCTGCTTATTATAGTTCAAAGAACATCTTTGAACATCTCTCCTGTCTGGCACCTGGTACTGATTTTGGAAACAGATGTGGGGTTAGATCCTGGAATGGCTCTTTACTGTCTCTGAACTTGGCTATATGAAAGATAGTTAAGAGTGTCATATACCTAATATAACACTTACTTACTGAAATATTACTTACACCATCATCCATCTTCAGCTTACTTGCATTAACTTCATGGAGGAATTGAGTACCCTCTTGTTGGGGCATGTATATAACTGAGGACATGAAAGTAAGTTTCACTTTTGAACTTTGGGGTCATTTTATTAGCACCCAAGAAGGTACCTAATTGCTGCATAAACAAATGTTTGCTCTACTTTGCAATATTCCTAAAAGGCCACACAGAAATGGATGCAGTGCACTTATTACAAAGGAAATACCTGATGATTCATACACCTGCCCCATCTTCGCTTGTGACTAACTGCAGTGTCAATGTCGCTTGTCTTCTGGGTGTCAGTTTACAAAGCAAATTTTTCTTTCTGGTGTTTGCAAAGGAGACACAGGGATGTGCATAGTTTTCTAAGCAATTTTCAGACTTTTTTTTTTTTTTTAAATAACACAAAGCTATACCTTTCCATCCACAACAGAAACATTAGCAGCTGGGGAGGATTCGGTTGTAGAAGTGGCAGGAAATATGTGAAAACTCGCATCTCTTGGTGATCTCACAATTTCATTCTGACGGTACAGCCGGTGATGGCGCAATTTGGATACCCAAGCATCAAACCAGTCCTGGGATTTCACCTGGAATAAGGCAGAAGAGAAGGTAACTGTGGAACCAATCTCTGTCTGCCACTGGTGCAAACAATTGCTCTGTTAATGATAGATGCTGAAAAGCAATTTCACCTTCAAATGATAGATGTGCTCTTCCGTGTCAAGGTCTATTCTCCGAGCTTTCTTTTTAATTGACATGACAGACAGTCCGACATCTATGCTCCCATGGACCTTCCCCTTTTGAATCTGAAATTAAAAGATTGATAAATACACTGGAAGGATATATGGTCTGGTGTGTTTCTGTTCTGAACTGAGGTGAGCTCAAGGTAGTTTTTTCTTTTTAAAAAAATTTTTATTTATTATTATCTTATGTGTATGTGTGTATTGCCTGTATGTAGGTAAGTGCACCTGTGTCATGCAATGCCCATGGAGGGTCAGAAGAGGCTGTTGGATCCCCTGGGACTGGAGTTGCGGACATGTGCTGCCATGTGGGTGCTGGGATTCGAACCCGGGTCTTCTGTAAGAAAAACCAGTGTTCTTAACTGCTGAACCATCTCTCCAGCCCCAGGGCTCAAGGTAGTTTTTAACTTGCCTACAGGAAGTAGATAACTATACTCTTTTTATTTTGTTTAATATATTTTTTACGAAATTAAATTTTTTATTTATTATTTTTATTTTGTGTGTATGACTATATTGCCTGCATGTCTGTAAGTGCACCCAAATCAGAAGAGGGCATCAGATCCCCTGGAACTGGAGTTATAGAAGGTTGTTAGCCACTATATGGGTGCTGGCAATTGAACCCAGGTCCTCTGCAAGAGCAGTCAGTACTCTTATCCTCTGAGCCATCTCTCCAGCTCCAACTGCACTGTTTTTAATAAAGAGAAAATAGCCAAGATCTAAGGTATTTGAAGCAGTTGTGACTTCACACCAATTTCAGCATGTAACCCTACCCGTCCTATTCCTATTTTTGGTATAAACAATAATGCCAGTTCTTCATAATTCTAGATTGCTTTGCTTCCATGTCCTCAATAAGGCAACTCCAATGATTCCTAAAATAACAATAGTCAACTTTTGACTCATGACCCAGAACATCCATGAGTGGTCAGCTGGATGACAGCTGCCAGGGTAAAACTGGGCAGCTGAGACCAGAGATCACGAGTGATCAGTTCCTCCTGGCTGTCTCCTTCTGATCAAGGACACAGCTGACTCCATGGCAGAGATGAGGACAAAACTGAAGTCTAAGTCCTCAGTTACTTCCCCTACCCCACAGGACAGGAAGGAGAAATCTTTCTAGCTCTGCATGCAAACTACTACTGCACATATTAAAAAGAGTTTGGAATAATCATAGTGAGTTGAGATTCTCAGGATAAAAGGAACAGAAATTAAATACAAAAGACAGTTTTTAAAAAGGACATTGACAAGAACAAAGATTGCTTTAAATTTCAAAAGGCATGCAACACAGAATTTATTGAAAAGTGCAGAGAAAAAGACTATTTCTCTCTAAGAGAGAAAGTGATTTTTATTAATGTGTCACTTTTAGGTTTAAGCTTCTGGTTTTAATAACAGACATCAAACTAGTTAAATTAAACCATTCTGCACTAGTTTGAGATTTTATGCTATCCTGGGCATAAGCATAAAGCACACTTTCTCTAGAACATGCTGGTTTGGTAGCTTGTTAAATATTACAGGCACAGACATGCACAAAGCTGGTAACTATGGCACAGAGCTTGCACAATTACGGTATTTACTCACTTGAAGTAGAATTCTAAATCAATCTGTGAAACATGTTCTGAGAGCTACTTACATCAAGTGGTGCCTTTGAATACTTTAACATTCCATTATCCAGGACAAAAAAGCGCTGTAAGAACCAAACACCCCTAGTTACTGTTTGTACTGTGAATTATAGAACACATTCACATGAATTCACATTGCTCAGCATTTGGCTGTTAATATGTTTGATAGCTGCAATATATGAATTCAGTGTATCTGGCTATGGCCAGTCACAGTAAGTGGTAAGCAGGTCAAAGGTCTGCTTCTGTGCTACTAGGATTCTTTAACACAAAATAGGGTGGAGTCCTTTCTTCATGGTTTATCTTCATGAGGAGGGGATCTTAGGACCTGCTGCTAAGATTTTTGAATGAATGGCACTGGGATGTTTAAAAGTGAGAAAAATAGTGGAGATGATTGTGGTAGCTTTGTAAGTTCTATCCAACTCTACAGGGAAGTGTTCACCCTGGAGGTAAACGCCTGAATCTCCCCTGGATACCATGGACACGTTCTAGAAATGTTCATGACCATTACAGAAGCCATTAGTCTAGACCCATTACTAGTAAGTTACCTAGAAGGCTTAAGTGACCTTGGCAATATATTGTGTTTTGCAATTAGTAAAAGAAATTAAAGATTATTTTGGACCAAACACTCAAAAGGAAAGTATAACCAAAGATTAAAAGGGCCAACATAATTTCATAAGAGTCCAATTGTATACCTAAAGGCTACATAACAAGTAACAATGTCAGACAGGTAATACCTTCTTTTGAGTTGTTGGCCAGGATGGCCAAAGGGATTCCCAGATAGTAACCCAGCATTAAACAGCAGACCCCAATCTTATCTAAAGGAATATTGACAACCAATTGCTGCTAGATGAAGAACAGCTGACCCTCCTAAAACAAAGACCTCTAGATAGGCTGACTAGGTTC